TCTGGAATGCATTGTTCTGTAGGATGTCTGAGTAAATTAAATTCTCTCCCGCACACTAAAGCATCAATTTCCTTATGGTAATTATCTGCTAGATTGGATCTGTCAGAGGCAGGGAAGCAAGCCTGACATTATACCCTCTTTACAAAAAATGATTACAAAAAATTAAGACGAATGAGTAAAATTATGGCTGCGGCTGGTAAGCCCCGGCAAAGCCCCCATGGATCACCCGACGTAGGGCGCCATTGTGCGGGGCTAAGCCGTTAATGACTAGCCGCATAATCAGGCGAGTCCATTACAGACTGGCAGAAGCCACCGATCACAGAGATAAGGGCGAAAAACGATTTTCCGCCAAGTAGAAGCAATTTATTATACACAAAACGCGTTTCTAACGGAAGCGCCTGGGCAGAAGGGAACCTGGCGAAGTTGGCAGGGTTGTTTCCTGGGACTTTCGACAAACACGGTGACGCTCGGGGTCCCGGGCGCCTCGTCTCGGCCTCGGGCCTCTGCCTCCCTCCGGGCTGCATGCGGCCGCGCGTTCTGAGGCTGCAGCTCACCGGGGCCTGCAAGAGCGGCCGGTCCCAGGTGCCCCATCTTGGGGCGGGGTCCTCAGGAGTCCCGGGGGCGCGGCGAGTCCTCGGGCCTGGGCGGGACTCCGGCGGCGGCACTGCGGTTGAGCCTGGTCCTCTGGGGTTGAGCCTGGTCACGTGCGCACGCAGTCGGGGTGTCATTGTGGGGGTGTGTGGCCAGCACGGTAGGTTAATTAACTCTAAGGTTGAAGAAAAAGCAAAGTCTCCATGGAATCCTGGGGGCAGCGGCCCGATCCCTGGGCAGCACAAGCAACGCAGGCCTCAGTGTCTGGGGCCCCACAGCGGCTGCCCCCCACCCCCTCCTGCCTCCCCACGCGACCCTCCAGCCCTGGAGTGGCCTCTGTCTGGCGCGGCTGCTCCTTGTGCCTGTCCAGCTGCAGGGACCCCCATCAAGGGGCCCGGAGAGTCGTCTGTTCCCCCAGGAAGAGCGGCCTTGGCTCCTCTCCGAGCACCTTGGCGACGCCCCCGCCCTGGGCCGGGCCTGGCCTTCAGCGGGGTCTCCTCCCCGGCGCACACGGCCCAGGAGGACCCAGCCCTGCCGGAGGGACCCCTGCCTGGGCGCGGTGTTAGCTGAGTCACAGGACCGCATGGCAGCGTGTCCTCGGGCCTGTGCGGAAGCCCCGGACAAGCCCGGGAGATAAAAGGAAGGTGCAGGATGGTCGTGGGGCCAGGCCCACCGCGCTCACTCCCATGGATGCGGGCCCGGGACAGTCCCTTCTTAGCAAATGGAACAGCCACGCAGAGTAAGATGTTGCTTTCTCATCTGACAGGTAAAGTCTGAACTGGGGGGCATTTTCAAAATAAGAGTGGCCGATGGCACAGAGTTTGCAATAATTTGCAGTCAGAGCACCCACGGCCTGCGCGGGCTGCGGGCTGAGGGCTGCAGGCTGCAGAGCGAGGATGCGGAGGAAGCCACCGCCCACGGGGAGCACCCCCAACCCGCCTCTGCGCACCACGCAGACCCTGCACGGCCGGCCGCTCCCTGACCAGGCCCCGCACCTGGGAGAAACCGCGGTGACCGACGCGTGGCTGCAGGCTCCCCGCCACGAGGTGCCGCCACCTCACACAGGAGACCCAGCCAGGCAGCGCCAGAAGCCCCAGGACCGAGGGCCTCCGGGGCGCACTGCGCAGGGCAGGCGGGGAAGCCGGCTCCCCGTCGGGCAGGACGCTCCGCTGCTCGCTCCACGCGCCGTGCAGTGAGTGGCAGGTCGCTGCCCTGAGGACTGCCCAGCAGGCGGCCGGGGCGACGCCGCAGGGCGTGTCCGGAGTGGCAGCCGCAGGCGCAGGCGGGCGGGCGGGCGGTGGGCTGTAGGCTGGCCCTGCGGCCCCGGGGAGCCTGCCGGCTCCAGAGGCCTGTCCGCCCCAGTGTGGCAGAGGCTGCTGTCCCCGGCGAGTGTCCCCAATGGCCAGGCGTGCGGCGCACTCTCCCCTCGCGCCCTCAGCCACCCGGAGGGCCCCTAACGAGAGGTGTGGGCGCGAGGACAGGCGTCCCTGCCACAGACCCAGGTGAGCGCCACAGCCTTCCCTGAGGGACCCTGGCCCCCGCGTGGGCCGGGCAAGGGGGCTGCGGGGGTGCCCAGCGGATTTAGAAAGAAAAGTAGGAAAATGAGAACGAGCACCAAGAGTAAGGGAAACCCCGGCCCCACATTCCGGGGCCGGGCCCCAGCACAGAGCGAGGGTCCTCTGTACCCCGAGCGGTGTGTCCCCTTGCCCCAGCAAGCCGGTCCCGCTGCTGGCCCTGCGCCCCGCCTCTGCGCCTGCCACTGTCTCCTCGGGCAGGAAGCGCACCGCGGGATGCTCGCGGCTCACTCCCAGGAGGCGCTCTGATGGGGGGCTCCCTCTCTGCCCCCTCTGAGGGCGGGAGGGGGGGTGTTGTCACGGCGACTGCAGAGGCTTGCCGCTTTCTGCAGAGAGCAGGTGGCACTCCTGCAGGATGGACCGTCAGAGGAACGTCTGCATAGGTCCCCGTGCTCTGAGCTCTGCCCAGCACTGCGGGGCTCTGCGGGGCCAGCCCGGCACCCACCGGGGGCTCGTGGGGGGCGGCCGCACCATTGACGAGCCTGCGGAGTCCCCTGTGCCGGCCCATGCACGTGCCTGGCTCCGGCCAAGGGGCAGGAGGGCACCTCCATCGCTCTGCGCGGCCGAGCGCCGAGCGCACGGCGGAAAAGGTCGGCGCTGCCCCGGGAGATGGCAGCCGCCCTCCCTGGGCGATGGGGAGCCCACCCGTGGCTGCTGCCCGGCGACCACGGGGAGGGCGTCTCCGCCAGTCAGCCCCTCAGGAGCACCCCGCCCCGCGGGTCTCCTGCCGCACATGCTCCGTCCCCCGGCGCCCTGGGCGAGGACCGGATCTTGCAGGGCCACCGGCCCTGGCCCCTCCGGGGCGTTGGGACATCACACACCTGTCCCTGCTGTTCTCAGATGGCCTCTTGGAAAGCCCACAGTCCCTCCGCGGACAAGGCGGACTCCCGAGGCCTCTGAGTTCGTTGCTGGTAAACTCGTTACACAGCAATTCGTGGGGAGACACAGGCCACTGACTCCGGGCAATTTGCATCCCCCCCTCCGCCTCGCGCGGAGGGCTGAGCCGTTGCGCCTCTCGTTTTAAAAGTGCATTAATGTTTCTGTGACCTTTACTGGACGGCGGTAGAAACATAGTCTTTAAATAGCAAAACCATGAGAGCTGATGGCCTACAATGTGCATTCCTGACCCTTATTTCAGAGGCAAGTTAGGATAAATCTTTTCCCAAAGGAAGAGAAAGTTTCTGCAGAACAATCACAGAAAGTCCAACATTTTGCAGGCGGATTCAGGTGCAGCTTCCGCTACGCAGTGGAGCTTCATGCGCCTGGACACCCCACACTGTCTCTCAGGCTTTCAAAGGATCGCACCTTCAGGCAGCATCTGGTGACAAACCACAGGAGAGCAGACGCCGTCTGTCAGCGGGCAGGGAGGCCATGCCGGCTCCGGGCGGGACGCCCCGGAGAGAGCTCTGCAGGTGCTCAGGGGGGCAGCGGCCCAGCGACCTGTGTGGCACAGGACGGGGCCGGGTGCAGCGGGGGGCCCGCCCCGGAACGGCCTCGAGTGACAGCAGGCGCCTCAGGCTCTGAGCAGCAGCGCCCCCGGCCCGAGCCGCCTCCGTGACCTTCGCTGCTCATGGAGTCGCTGACCCTTCCCACGGTGTTTGGGGAGAATCTCCCGGACATGGAGATTGTGGGTTTTTTTTTTTTTTTACAGAATCACGTTTTCTGAAGCGATTGGCGTGCAAGGCTGCGTTCAGGCGGAGCCGTTCCCCCTGTACAGAGACGCCGAGGAGAGTCCGCTGAGGAGGAGGGGCGGCCGCACGCCTCCCGCCTGTCCCGACAGAAGCCAGCGCACAGGGCGTGTCTGCGGGCCAGGGGCCAGGCTGCACGTGGCCATGACGGAGGTGGCCCACGACCCCGGAGCAGAGAGGCTGGCTGCGCCTTGGGGAGGGGCGAGCAGGAAGCACCCCAAAGAGCCCCGTGTTTGCCCAGAGCCCCGCGGGGTCCCAGTCCCACACTGAATGGCTTGGAAAAAGACGGCAGAAAGGAGCCCTGAGCAACCCCTCAGAAGCACATGGGAGTCTTTTTCCCGCTCTGCTGGTTTTGCTTGTGAACAGCCCCGGAGATCGCCCCATCTGCGAACGCACGGCGGGGGACGGTGCGCGTGCAAGCTCGGGAGCCCGGGCGACGGTCTGTGGAAATGCCGTGTGGACGCTCGCGGGCCGACAGCCCTGTGTGCGTCGCATGACCGTACCGGGGCCGGGGCACAGCCCACAGCCTGCGCACACGTGGGACCGGTCCTGGGCCGGCGCCCTGTCCGATCAGCCTCCGCCGGGCCACACGCTGACCGTGGCATGGACACGAGAGGTCACCCCAGCCTCCCGGCCTCATGGGGCCTGGGGGTGCTCGCCCGGAGGCCCTGGAGGGGGAAGGCAGTCCTGCTCGGGGTGGATGCTGCCCCCCCCCGGCTGAGGCGGGGCCTGCAGCGAAGAGTGGCAGTTTCGCTCCCGGTCGCCGGGTGCCCCACCGACAACATACGGATTTCTGACTGGATAACCTGTGATCGCAAAGGTCGACGACCCACACTCTACCCTCGAAGTGCCCACATGGACTTGGTCCAGACAAGAGACCCCTCGGGGCCTGGCATCCCAGCTCTGAGCAGGGGTCTTCCCAGGCGAGACCCTTGCTGCTGGCGGCGTCCCGAAACCGGGGCTGCCGTCACAGAACTCGTCCGAGACACTCCCCCCGCCCCGCCCCCCGCAGCCAGAAAAGCGCACCCGCCGCACTCCGCTTGCACACACATGCGGAGCACATGCCCAGCCTTTATTTCCCGCCGCCCGCGGAGCGCCGCCCGCGTGGCCGGCGTGAGGTCCGGGGCCTCATGGGGTCGGCGACCCCTCAGTAGCCGGCCGTCGCTTCTTTTTCCTTCCTGTTGAAGGGGTTGTAAGGCCGTACAGTCGTGACCATCCGGGACAGCGGCGCCTGGCGGCGGGAGCGGCCGCCCGTCAGTTCTTTCTGGAAGATGCTGAAACACAGTGGGGGGGAAAAAGAAAAGTGGGCGCCTCAAACCAACATGAACACATGCAACCCCCTCTGTTCTGCGACGAGTCATGCCCGAGGGCCAGAGAGGGAGGGCGTAAGCGGGGAGAAATCGGCATCAGCAGTCGTGTGTGTCTGGTTCCATGCCCTTCGCTCCCTGCGTTCGGCTTCACGTGCTGTCCTGGAGGCACCCTGTTGCCCTCGGCGTAGTGGACTGAGCACCCACTCTGTGTCTAGAACCGCAGCGGGTTCAAGAACACAGGAAGTGAGGCCCCGGCCGGTGGCTCAGGGGGCTAGAGAGTCACCCCGAAGCGGCGCGGCTGCGGGTTCGGTCCAGTCGGGGCACCTGCAGGGCTCAACCAACGTGCGCCCCAGTGAGAGGAGCAGAGACTCGACCGCGTCCTCTCTTCCTTCCTCTCTCTCTAAAATGAATACATTTTTTAAAAGTTTGGAAAAGACTACAGCAGAGGCAGCTGAAGAGCCCAAGGGCGCCCACAGCACATCTCTGTGGGCGGGGACGCAGGCAGGGCCGCCTCTCTCCCTGGCCGGGCCGACACGCCGACACGCCGCCCCGCCGGCTCTGTCTCAGCGGGGCCTGTGTCACCGCAACTCTCTCCAGCGGCGGCGGCGCCGCCTGCAGCCACGCTGCCGGGAACCTGCTGCTCCCTGAGTCACGTGCGCAATGCCGTGTGCCCTTGTGTGGCAGCGCTGACGGAGCGCACAGCGACGGAACCTGGAGAGGTTTGGTTTTATGCCGCGATTATCACGAGGCAACAGGTTTCTTACTTTGTTGTGGGCCCCGGCCGCGGAAGGGAGAGCTCGGGCGCCGCCAAGGGTACGGCCTGGGGCGAGGGACCCCGGGCCGCAGCGGGAACGGGGTCGAGGGCCTGGTAGGCGCCCCCTTACTCTCGTGGCATGGGACTCCCAACGCCCCTTCTGGCCCACCGCCCGCACCGTCTCCTCAATGACAGTATCTCCCGGTGACCGCTCTCCTTGCTGCTCTGCATCGCGGCATCACAGCTGAGGGGCCGCTGTGCGCCTCACTCACAGCGGGGGTGGGGACCACGTGGCCCCCGACTGCTGGGCAGTGACGTTCCCGGCCTGCGCAGCTCACGGCCCAGCCCTGGGGGGCCACCGCCCACAGGCATCCATGGCAAGCGCGAGGCCCGCCCTCGGCCGGAGGGACTTCGCTGGGCTCTGTCCCCGCTCGCTGCTCCGCTCCCGCCTGGCCGGGGGAGTGTGTCCTGTGAGCGGTGGTGTGGGAGCTCAGGCCGGGGCAGGGGGGGGGCCGGACTGGGAGGCCGTGAGGCCGTGGGAAGGGGAGAGGGGTGTTGGCTTCTACGGAAGAGCCCAGAGCGGGCCCAGGTCGCGGACTGCGCAGGGTGGGCCAGAGGCTGGAGGCGGGGCGGGCAGGCAGGCAGGCAAGGGAAAAAAACACAATAAAAATAAAAACTACAGAGCTTACAGGCGGAAGGCAGGAGGGAGAGGAGGACAGCAGCCGAGGGGGCGCGCACGGCTGGGCCGCGGGGATGCCGCCGGTTCCTGCCCTCGAGGGCCAGCAGGGCGGCGGCAGGTTGGAGGGCCAAGAGCTGGGGTCGGGGGAAGGATGGAGGGTTCAGGAGGGCAGGGCGAGAGCGCGCCTTCCTGGGGTGGAAGGAAACAGAAGCAGTGACAGCAGAGATTCGGTGTCGGGCAGGGAAAGGGGAGCCCCCCAGCCGAGAGGCCGGCGGCCACGGGCCCCAGGCTCGGAGAAGCAGACCTGCTGCAGGGAAGGCGCCGTCCCTCAGCAGAGGGTGCAGCCTTCGGTGGGGGGCCCCTGTGTTCGGGGCGCCCAGCGCAGGCCCGCGCAGCCCGCGGCTCAGGGCCCGGGGAAGCGGAGCAGCCCGGTGGCCACGGCCGGGAGGGAGTCTGCTCGCTGGGCCCCCGTGACACGCGTCGGCCAGGGGCCCGGCTCCGCTCCCCCGGGCCTCCGAGCAGAAGCGCCTGCCGCAGGGCATCACAGAGGCTCGGGGCCACACTCCGCCGCAGGGGCTGCCCCTGGCCGAGCTCTCTGTGGCCACAGGCACGGGGCGGGGGGCGGGGGGCGCAGACCGCGGGGCCATTCTCCCGGGGGCGGGCGCGCTCGCACACCCCTACGCCCCGGGCGCCCTCCCCGCAGAGCCTCAGGGCCCGTCAGGGGCCGCGAGCGGCGGCGGTCTGGGCCCCTGGCCAGCCCGCGTCTGCCCCTCGGGCCACAGCAGGGAAAGCAGTCGTGACGGCAGGGGCTGCCGCCGTCACCGTGGGGGGCAGGTTCCCGCTCGGAAACAAGGTTCCCCTGACCCGTGTGGGCGACACCGCAGCATCGCAGCGCGTGGCCGGGGACGAGCCAGGCCAGCAGGACTTCTTGCGCCGTGACGCTCAGCGGCAGGTGTTGGGGTGGGTTTAACTTTGATGTGGCTTTGCTAGGCCCCTCCCATAACATAAGGAACACAGAACGTCTGAAATCCGGTCAGTCTGCCTTTGGAAGTGGCTTTGTGACTTCTGAAAATGTCACTTGGGAGAAGACTGACCGAACGTAAAATACCAGCCTAGAAAGCGAGCGACCCGTGAGAACGTCTCTCGCCGGGTGGCCCAGAGAGTCAGGACCGGCAGCAAACCCCGACTCAAGAGGGGTGGCAAGGCCGCCCCCTCCCTCCGGGCACCACCCTCAGACGCAGGCCACACATGTCCCCACACCCAGGGCACCAGGGGCTGCGGGGCCCAGGGCCGCCCTCCTGAGACGCCCGGTTCTGCCTCGAGGGACCGCCCGCCACAGGCGCCCGCGAGTGACTGGAACCCTGCGGAAGGCGGCCTGGCCTCAGGCTCCTGGGGGCCCCTGCGAGGGCCGCTTCCTGTGCGGCGTCTCCTTTGCACACCCCCCAGATCCCCAGGAGCTGGTGTGCCCCTCAGCTTCCGTATCTGGAAATGGGGAACGAGACGGCCTCTCCCAGGGTGGCCGGGCTGGCGGCATGAGCGGGCGCCTACAAGCCCGTGGGGAGCCTGGTTACCCGGGGGCACCGGGCAGACAGCGGACGGCCTGGGGGAGAGCACGTGAGCCCACCAGCGAGCGGATGAGCGAGTGGGCAGCGCCCGGGGCCCGGCACCCGTCCCGGCCGCTACCCTGCCAAACATCCCAGAAGTCCTAGGAGTGGCACTTGGGCTCCGCCCGGAGGTCACCTCCTCAGGGAGCCTGCCCACACTGCCCAGCAAAACCACCCGGCCCATCGCTCTGTGACGTCGCCCCGCGTCCCCTTTTCCCAGCGCACCTCACTCGGGGACGCGGGCGCCTCCTTCCTCCTGCCTTTCCGCCAGGACTCATGCTCCTGAGGGGCCCGGCACTTCCTGCTCGGTGCCGCCTGGACGCCCAGCGAGCGTCGGGTGGGTGCAGGACTTGCCCCCGAACAGAGGAAAGGCGCCCCCCATGCTGAGGACCGCCCCTCCCGCCAGGAGGGTTGGCTGGTCCGCACGGGCAGCACCTGCGCCCGGCTGCACCTGCCTCAGCCAGAGCGCGTCACCCCGCTCACAGGGCCGGGACGACCTGCAGGGCCTCCGGACGGGCGCCGCGGCGGGCAGCGCGGGCCGCTCCGCACCAGCGCTCAGACCACGGAGCGGCCGCCCCTTCCGCCTCCTTTCCGCCTCGTCTCCTGCTTTCACTTTGAGGAATGGAGTTTAAAAACGCATAGCTTTCAACAGCATGCTGCCTTTGATGGCCACTCAGGTGGTTCTTCACAAGAAGGACATACGCGTCCCGTGGAGTGTGGTGCCCATTCGGACAGCAAGGCAGTGGGGCCAGCGGTGTGACGCGGGGGCACGGGGCAGCCCCCCGCCCCCCGCCGGGCTCCCAGCCTCGATCCAGGGCGCTGTCAGCCACGGCGGCGGGAGACAAACTCTCCCGTCCCTTTGGACTTGACACCCCATTTTTTCAACCATGTAAATTGCCTGTTAGTATTTAATTGTTCTTTAATGGAATCACCGTAATGAGAGTGCCTCCCGGTGCATCTGAGCAGATCGAGGAGGAGGACTCGTACTCACCGGTGCACGGCCGAGTCTGGCGAGGGGGCCGCCGCCGGAACGCTCGGGTTGGCCGGGTGTGTGGCGGTGACATGGACCTTGCCGGTGTACCCTGGGGTATTTGCGGAGCTGAAGGGAAGAGTCAGAATGGGAGGGGGAGGCAGGAAATGAAGCTCGTGACCTGGGAAAGGGTCATGGTCGCCCGCCCCCAAACCCGGAAGCAGGAAGGCAGATGCAGGGGCGATTTGTCCTTCGCAGGCTCTGGCAGCGGCTGCCGGCGGGAAGGCTGGGAGCAGGGGGCGCGTGCGTGTGGGTGGCAGCTCCCCGCCGTCTGAAGGAGGCTGCCGCAGGGCCCTGCTCTCGGGCTGTCTGAGTTTGCACGTGTTTTACCCGCACGGCCCTGCTGGGTCCCGTTCCCTGAGGAAGGCACGGAGCAAGGCCCCGTCCCGCCTGAGCTCGGCCGCCGACGCCAGCGTGGGTGGGCACATGCCACCTTTCTGCGTAACATTTCTTTCTTGTGGCCATTAGTGCAATGTAGGATGGATTTCACGTGATTCCCTGAAGCTGCACAAATTTAAACAAGTACAATCCCACTTCTCTACTTCCACATCCGTTTCCCGCCAGCGGGGGGGAGGGAGACCAGGAAAACACATATGTACACGCATGTTCCCATGTGTGTAGGAGGTCCCTCGGTCTAAAGCCAAACACACATTCAGGAGAAACAGTCTAATGGGTACTTCAGAAGAGCGTGTCTCCCACGTTGTTGGCTAATTTTAGTGGAAATGCGAGAGTTTAGAGAAATCAGATTTGCAAAGAGGAGCCCGGGTCGGCGGTAAAGCAGGTCCAGCACAGGTTGCTGTCTGAGGTCGAGGCGGTGGTTTCCAACCGCGCTGCACGCTGGGCGCCTGTCGGGGGGACTTTTCCTGGGCACTGGTGCTGGGCTCCCAGCCCCAGCCGCTCTGGCCCCACCTGTGGTCTGGGCGGCCTGGGCGGGGCTTCCGCTCGCTCCCCGGGCAGCCCCGCGGCACGGAGCGCTGGGAGCTGCCACTCAGCGTGGGCCGCGGGGCTGTGGGAGGCGCCGGGCGAGCAGGCCAGCACCGCCCCACCCGGGAAGCGTCCTCCAGGGTTTCTTCGCGTTTTCCTGAAGTATGGCCGAATGTCGGGAAGGTGATGGACTCGGGGGAACGTGCTTCGTGCGCGCCCACTGAAGCTGCCCTGCACCTCCTGAGGGAAACCCCCTCCTCTGGGCGGCGGGTCCTTTCCCAGCCCCGAACGCCTGCCGGGCGCAGCGCCCCGCGGCCGCAGCCAGCCGGCAGCTGAGGCGCCGTGGGCAGCGAGCCGCTGCTCTGTCTCGGGGTCGGGGGCGTAGAGCACCACGTGGGCCCCCTGTCCCCAGCCTCCGCCGCGCTGGTGGGAAGTGGCGTCGCCCACTGCCTCTCCAGGGAGGGCTCCTATCATAGCCCATCGCACCTAAAAGTAGCAAAACGGGAGCCAGGCCCGGGTCAGAGGCTCGCGGCCCAGGCTGAGACAGGCCTCCGTCGCACCAGGCACTGGCCCGTGCTCGCGAGCCCAAGTCCTCGCCTGCGCCGGCTCTGAGCGCGGCCACTGAGCCCTTCTGAGGCCCGGGCACCGTGCCCGCCTCGCGTCCCTTGGAGGACGACCCCTGGCAGGCAGGCCCCAGATGGCTCCCAGGCACCATTATTCTTCAGGTGGAAGAAGCAAAGTTATTGAAGATATGAAACGTGCAGCCTTTCCAATGGCCTTGCAGATGAGTTCAATGTTCCGAGCATTCCCCCCACCCCCATTTGATAAAAGCAGAGAGAAGAGGAACCCACTTAAACATTTTTTAAAAAGCCTTCATTTCCTGTTGTTGCTCCATAGTTTCTAGTCCTTTGAACACCTTTTGTGCCCTGGTTCTGCCAACATGTCTAGATTTTCCACTACTGGGTAAATTTGAATCAATTATTGCCTAAGTTTACAACCAATTGGTCTTGTTCAACAAAGCATAGTCAAGGAGAAATTACATAACTTCAGGGCCTAAGGAAGTTTAGCGATTCAGAAAATAGAGCACAGACAGCGTGCAGTTAAACGCTAACTGCGGCGTGGCGGGCGGGGGCGGGCAGAGAAAGCTGTGCTGTGCACAGGGCGGGGGCGGGGCCGGGCTGCGCTGACCCGTAGGCCGCCCCGCACGCACCCGCCCCGCGGTCCTGCAGACGTGGCTGGCCCTCGCGAGGCGAGCGAGCACGCTGCCCCGGCAGACGTCGTGGCCTCCGGTGTGTCCGGGCAGTAGAGTCTCACCGCTACCACCGCCCCCGTCCAGGGCCGCGTTTCCCCTCTGTTTGGAGACTTGGCCCAGGATGTCAACGTCCCCCAGAGTGCCCTGTGAGTCACGCGCAAGTCACTCCTGAGCCTCGGTCTTCCCATCGGTAAAAGCAAATAAGTACGTGTGTCAGGTGCCTGGCCCCGTCAGGGCCCAGAACTGCCATCTCCTTTGTGACGAGCTGCAGTTCACCGAGGAAGCGGCTGCCTGCCCTCTTATGCCACGTGCAACAGCGGGCCGCGCGTGCGATTCCCATCACGTGTCTCATCCACACTGATCCGGCGAGGGGGCGGCTGTGAGGGGACTCACCGGCTCGTGTTGGAGCGACGGCTGCTGGAACGCCGCGGCTCGCCCAGGCACGCGGCGTCCGCCCAGGGGTTGTCAACGGCGTCGGCGTCCGCGGACTGCACGCAGCCCCTGTCAGGGCGAGGAGACGAAACGGCGCGGGTTCTTTACAGGGAACACGGACACACAGACAGACTGTGCTCCGGCTTCCAGAGAGGTCTCATCTGCCAGAATACCTCAAAATTTGAAAATGCAAAAAAATAACACGTGATGACGGCACCATTTGCCAGGGGAAAAAGTAAAGCAAGGAGGTTTTCCGCTTGTGGAAAGGGGGCTGCCGGGGCCTCACAAAGGGGAGTGTGACCCAGAGCGGGGGCGGTGGCCGGTGTGTGCCTGTGAGCGCACAGCTGCCGCTGCAGCGCCGGCGCGGCCTGCACCGGCCACGGGCAGGTGGCCGCGGGGCAGGGCAAGGCCGGGCCGGCACCGGCTGGAGCTCACGGGTCTCCTGTGAGGATGGAGACGGGCGGCACCTGGGGCCCTGGGCTGCAGGGATGGGGGGCTGCGCCCGATCTGACGGAGACCCTTCGCCAGGGGCCGCAGGGGCCGCGGATGGACAGGCTAGTCAGCTGCACGGCGGTGCCAAGGAGGCCGCGGGATGCGGGGAGGGCGAAGGCTAACGCCCTCTCCTCCGTTCTCTGCCCTCCCTGTGCTCCAAGGTGCCACGCGATCTTCGCGCGCCTGTGCCTGCTGCCGGCTTCCATCCCGCCCCGAGTTCCCGTCACAGGCGCGGGCAGCAGGGGCGGCAGCGCGTCCATCGGGAGGGTGGGGCCCCCTTAACAGGCCTGGAGTGTTTAGGCGCGCACCCCAGGAGCTCCCTCAGCCCTCCCACCACAAGCAACCCGGAGAGAGATCCGGGACCCAGAGCGGCACCTCCCCGGGCCACGCCGCACCCGGACTCCGGAACTACGAGGGGTAGCGGCCGGTGTTCGTGAGCCGCCCAGTTGGGGGTGTCCCGCTACAGCCGCCCAAGCCGACTGCAGCCTGAGGCGCTGCGCGCGTCTGCGGCCCAAGAGGCCGGAGTGGTGGGCGCGCACCCCCGCGCCCTCGCCGCAGACCCGGGGCGGGGGTCAGGCGCTTACGGGCCACATTTCCAGCGGCAGCGTTGGTGACGCGCCGTGCCGTCCACGGCGGGTGGAGGCATCTTTCGGGCTGACCACGCCCCGTATTAGGAGCATCATCCAGGGTATTTCATTTCCAAAATAACCAATTTGGGGAAACATAAAAATTCCACTCCTCCTTTCTTTATGAAAGTCTATAACAAATCCTTGCTGAAAGTCCTGACATTAAACGTGCACTGAGACAGGAAAATGTTAGAAATCTGTTAGAAAGCGCGAGTTGTCATAAAGAGCGAGGCACAAACAATTTAGATGTAAATTTAGTCATTTTTAAAGTATTAAGAAATGTTACTTACGTGTAGAGAGGAATGTATTTGCTTCTAGAACTTGGACTCACACTTGGAAAAAGAGAAAATATGGGCAGTGGAGATACCGACATTGACTTAATAAACATCAAATTATTACAGTATTTCTGTCACTCAAATAAAAACAAAGCCTTCAGAGCCCTCTCATAGGAACTGGCCTCCAACATTTCTAAGTTTAAACAGAAACAACTTAAAGACATAATTTTCATGGGCCATCAAACAGAGCAAGCTGACGCCAAGCCCTCAGGGACGCACGCCTTTGTGGACACCCATGGCTTACGTCTGATGCAAAGCTCTCCCCGCGGCTGTTTTTATTTATTTATTTTTGTTTGTTTGCTGCACATTTCCTTAGTGATCAGACATGAATTACCGGTTGTAGTGAGAACAAAAATAAAGAGGCTTTCAAAGGCAGAAATGCCATTTTTGAGACTAAATGAAAAGAATTACATGTGCAGGATTTCTAACAGTCATAATTTTTAGCATCCATAGAAGCCTAAAGAACCCTATGACACAAAGCTTGGAAAAGTGATGTAGAATCCCTTGGAGTTCACACACTTGGGCACATCGGAGCGCCTCACGCCTTTCTAAAGCAGCCCCGCCTTTCAGGCTGCTGGGGGCGCCGAGCAGCCCGGAGTCTGAAGGGGGCTGAGCGACCACGCGCAGGGGCGGTGGCCTCTGGGGACCCTCCAGCCAGGAGCTAGAGCTCCTTGATGACAGAGACAAGGGTGAGAAATCTAGTGATCAGAGCATTAGGAGACAAAACTTACAAATTCACTGGTTTGACCGGCGCCGAGAAAGATCTTGTCTGGAATCTGTCCCAGAGTCCACCGACCATCTAAAACCACCAGGACAAATGACAGAGATTTACTGGACTAGTCACTGGACGCCTAGTTCCTAAGCTCCAGCTGCTGTCCCCTCCAGCCTGTGAGGGCCGGTGCCCTGACCGTCCTCTGCGCTGTGCTGCACTGCCCGCGGATAGTGCTCCCCGAGCATCCGCGGCAGCCGCTCTCGGGCCCTAATTTCCGTTTGTTTTCTCGACGCGGGGATCGGCCTTGTCCCCCCCCTTCAGGGTGAAGCCGGTGCGGAGGCCCGGCTTCGGTTTTCAGCCCAGAGACCTGCGCACTCGGGCGCGCCTTAGACCCCACCTCCCCGCCCCGCGGCCCCAGACAGTCCGCCCGGCCGCCCAGCGCAGCCCAGGCCTGAGCGCGGAACCTCGTGGCGCAGGGCAGGCCTTCGGACACCCGTGTAACTTAGCAGCAGACACTGGGTGATAAAATGACCCAGCTCTGCAAGATGGGCTACTTTCGGGGAGGGGAGAGAGCCTTCAAAAGGGACAAGCCGGGCGCCTTCGCCTTCGTCTTTCAATCGATTTTCGTTTCTATGTGAAAATCCCCGGTGAGGCAATATTAATGCTGGTTCGCCTCACTCAATATCATTTTTCTCTGTAAAAACTGAAAAAAAAAAGGTCAAGATAAGGTGGGCTTCTTACCCTGCAGCTCCTGAGCCGCCGGGGGTCCGGGCCGAGGGCTGCTTTTCACTGCGCTGGCGCCCCCGCCCCCCGCCACCGCCCCCGTCCGGCGCCGGGGCGGGTTTGTGTGCGGCAAAAGCTGCCGTATGCGCCGCCCTCGCAGGGGCTGTCAGGCTCCTGAAGGTGACAGGCAGCAGGAAAGGACGCGGGCGGCCGCAGAGGTGCCAGCGCAGAGCAGGGCGTGGGGGCCGAGGCGAGGCCGACGGGAGCCCTGAAGGCTCGGAGCTCGGCCTGGCCGGGCCGGGGCAGGGGGCAGGCACCAGCGGGCGCGGGTCTGCTGGGTGGGGGGTCGGGGGGCAGGAGGAGAGGCGAGGCCGCGGCGGGGCCGGGCGCCCACTTCACGCAGAGGGCGGGCCTGACTCAGCGGGGCCCCAGGAAGGGACCCCACGGCAGGAGGCGGCGGCCCCTGGCTGCACTGAGGACAGAGCCGTCCGGTGGCGGATCCGTGCCGCTCCGGAAGGAAACGCGCAGCCCCACCGCGGCCCCGTCCGCTAGATCCCAACAGCCCTGGCCTTCGTGGGCGGGCCTCCCCATTCCGTCTGGAGACGCAGGGGTTTGTTCTGGGTTCAGTTTCAGAAACTGTCCTCAGCATGGGTTCTCCAGTGGCACAGTAATTGCTTCTCTGTGTCCTCACTGTTGACTCCTTCTTTTTCAATTTTTAAAAGGAACACAGTCAACGCAAATGACTTTTGAGGAAGAGGCAGTGATAAGTAAAATTTCTAAAATATTAGCACCGACAATACTGAAGTGTATGAGGCTGCCGATGACCCTAGGGTGCGGCACTGCCAATTCCGCACAGGCTTATGTTTGCTTGTCCGTGATGTGCAACAGTGAAACAGCTCTCGCTGTCACTCAGAGCTCGGGGTCCGCGCTGCGGCCCGGGCCCTCTGACCTGAGTCAGTGCCGGCGCCCTCTCGCATCTTTTCAGTGTGAAGCACTGCGAGACGAGGTCGGCCGCGCTCTCCGCTGCTGTCTCCTCCGGACCGGGTCTTGGTGGCAGCATCTTGTCCCAGGGAACACCTTCATACGCTCTGTGAAACGATTAAACGATGACCCTTTACGAACAACACGCATCCAGTTGGTATAGTTCATCAGCGTATCACGCACGGTGGTAGTAGAATTCCAAGGTGTCCCCCAAGACCCCTGCCCCCACTGCACGTGCCCTCGGTCATGACCTCCCCTCGGGTGTGGGCAGGGCACGTGGACGTGAGAGACTCCCACTCTCGTCACACTTGGTATGGCAACTTCAGATGACAACAGGGACTGTGCACGTAGAACCAGGGCCCTATCGGTTCAATGTGAGGTCATCAAAAGGCAGATGGCTCTAAGTGCGCCTAATCTAAGCTGGCGAGTCCTAAAAGGAGACAAAGCAGCAGTGGACGCCCCTCAGCTGCCCTTGGGCAGATCATGCGAGCCCTACCGCTACCACAGACGAGTCCCACCAGCAACCGGCCTGACCTGGAAGGCGGCTCGGCCTGAGAAGCCCTGAGCCTCCGCCCCGTCCGGCCAGCCGGGACTTCAGCACTGCAGACGGGGAGGGTAATGAATGGGCGTGGCTTCAAGCCGCTAACCTGGCCGTCCTCCGTTGCACGGCAGTGGGGAACTGATGCGTATATTTATGCGCACCATCCAGGTTACAAAACACTCCATTACGTAGAGATGCAGGGACTCTTGCCTCGGCGCCTTGGCCAGTGACGCGGCTTTAGGACCCGTCTACGCACCGTGACACCCAGAAACAGCTCTCCAGCGCAGACGTCTCTCCCAAACTCCAGACCAGCGCACCCAGAGCCTGGCGGACTGAGCCCCGGGCTGCCCACTGAGCACCTCCGTGTTCAGCACGTCCAACCCCGACTGCGGTCTCTCCCTCCACCGCTGCGGTGCCCGCCCTCATGGCGGGAGGGGGTGGCTGCTCACCGTGCCCAGCTGCACAGCCCAGACCCGGCTTCTCTTCCTTCCGGCTCACACCCTCCAAGCTGGAAACTGTCTTGGCTCCACTTTCAAAACATATCCAGAAGCCAAGCACTGCTTACAAACTCCCTACCCTCCTACCCTAAGCCACTGTGTTCTCTGCCTAGAAGACAGCATCTGTTTTATTTTTTAGTGTCTCATCTCCTTCTGGGGGCTGAGCCGTTTGCTTATGTTTGTTGCTTGCTGTCCATCTCCTGTTAGAATTGGGGCTCTTAGAGAGGGGAGGGCTTTGCTTTATTCGCTGACAAACCTCACAGTTTAGGGCCCAGACACATCGTAAGTTCACTATGTAAACTCTCCTTCAGGCTTTCTCTGCTCCTCTTTTCTGTGACGCTGCACACGTGCCCTCTCTCAGCGCTCCCTTTCTGTCGGGTTCCGCTCTGCTATGAAACACTCCTTCCTGACCTGTTTGTTAGCAATCAACGTAAGTAACTAAAGATCTGCATCTACGTTCTTGAATTTCTCATAAAATTCAGGATAATGTAGATACAGAGGGGATATATCATTAAAGATAAAAGAGTTATATTTTTACATTAAAATTCTATTTGGGAACTTCTTACTTTTGTGTAGAGGACTTATAAAATGAGTCCTTCGCGCTGTATTTCTGGTTTGGTCGTGGAAGTGGGTCGCCGTCAGCCTAGAAGGCACAAGTAATAAAAAGGGTCAGACAGCTGTGGGGACCGACACCGCTCCCTGTTCACCAGGCTGTCTTTTCTCTCGTCATTTTTCTCCTTTTATAGCGCCTTTTGATTCAACGAGCGCATGCTGCCTTACTTTTCGCTACTGTCTTGGAAACTCGCATTTTGTGTATTTTAATGATTGAGTTAAAACTTACAAAATGTACGTTGAAGTCCACGGAAAGTCAGATTTTTATGAGAAAGCTTTTGAATGTTAAATGTTGGCAGATAGTGTTTAGTTCCATGAAATTACAGTATTTTTAAAAAAATCTCTGTCTTGTTTAACAAAGACATTAGCTTTGAAATATTACCCTCTTCCTATCTTTCAGCTTACTCTTATAGGATTATTTAATTATCATTAGAAGCGTTTTTATCACCGTCTTTAATGGTTGCTGTTTGTTTAGCTTTCCCACCACATGTTGCCAATCCTTTGTCCACTTTTGTCCCTTGTTATCGTCCTTGTTTTTCCCCCCTTGGTTCTCGGTTCTATTCGGTTTTCACTAAAGTTCAATTCCAAGGATGTACATTTCCTCTAGTTCTATTTTTTAACTCATCTTTACATTTGAACCGTGCTCCAGGTGGGCGGCAGTTGAGTCGAGGGTTTTGGTCACGGTTCTGTAACAGCAAGCGGAGCCCTGGGCCTGGGCCGTGCTGGTTGGATGGTGTGCGGGCATTCGGGGCCCTCCCCCCGCCCCGGTTACAGTTTCCCCTATAGTCTCCGTATCACTGGTTTAGGGGCAGATATATTTTTGCTCATCTGTGTTAAGACTTATTATGCTTCTCCAGTCTGAGAATTCAGTCCTCCGGGCCAGTGGCCATCGTCAGCCACGTGTGGCTGTCACCGCGGTGGCAGGGGGCACACGCGCCAGTAGCAGGGCCTGAACCGGTCACCACCAGCCTCCCCTACTCAGCCCTCCCCCCAAGAGCAGCGGAAGGGATGGCACAAGGGGGTGCAACATACACAGTGACCGCGAAGGTCTGCATGTGCCTGGCACATGGGGCGTGTTCTATAAACCCGAGCCCTTTGACGATGCTCAAGATATCAAAAGCACAGACAATACAATAAATTAATCACACATACTGTATACACCACCCGGGGAGAAATGTTACCGTGCACACGGCGTCCTCATCAAACGTGTACGTGTGGTTTACTGAGCGTCCTTCGTGTCGGGGCCGGGAGGGGGCGACCTTCAGGGGGCTCGTCCAGCCTGGAAACAAGCACGCGCCTGCCTTCACCAAACGGCAGGACATGTTTCTTCTTCTACCGGAAATACTTCCGATTAGAAGGCTACCCTGTGTGCTGTTAACTGATTTTTTTCCAACAGGTTATCGAACAATTTTTCTCATCAGTGAGAACAGAGTAGCTCTGAAATTTCTATGTTAGGATTATTACAATAGTATAGAAGTACTTGCTATTGTACTTATTACTCATTGGGAATTTAGAAATTATCTTGAGATAAATTAAAATGAAGACACAAAACCGAACAGAAGTCATGGGGTTCAGCAAAGGCATTGCTAAAGTAGAGAGAAATTTAGAGGTGTAAATCCTTACATTGAAGAAAGAGCTCAAATCAACAACCTAAATTTACACCTGATGGAGCTACAAAAAGAACAAACCACACCCAAAGCTAGCAGAAGGAAGGAAATAAAAAAGATTAGAGCAGAGATACAAAAGAGAGAATAGAAAAATAGGGAGAATCAACGACAGCAAGAGTTGGTTCTTTGAAAAGATCAGCAGAATTGACAACTAGCTAGACTGACTCAGAGAAAAAGAAGACTCAAATAGGTAAAATCACAAATGAGAGAGAAAATAAAGCATTGCACTGATTTTACAAAATTAATTATAAGAGGCCGCTATGAGTAATTGTACACCACCGAATTATATAACCCCGATGAAGTGGACAAATTACTGGAATCACACAACCGCCCAGACTGAATCATGAAGAAACAAACTATGAACAGACCTGTAACTACAAAGGAAATCGAATCGGTGATCAGAAACCTACCTGACAGAGAAGCTCAGGACCGGGTGGCTTCACTAATGAATTCCACAAAACATCTAAGAGAACAAACGCCATGAACGCTCCTCCTTCTCTTTTTAAGAAATTAATGTAAGAATTTAAGGAAGGGGAACACCGCCAGGCTCACTCACTGGGAAGCCGGCGTGACTGCCATACAGAAGCCGGACTTGATCCCTCGCAGACGCCGGCACACGGCTCCCCTACAACGTGCTCGCAGGCAGTACGGGCACCGCGCCGGACCGAGCGCCACGACCACGCGGGTGTTTCCCTCGGGTGGCAGAGCTGGGGTGTGCGCCGAGCTCTGAGGGAGCCAGCCAGCCTACAGCACCCTGTGACAGCGGCTCAGGCTATGGCAGGCATCTTAAAATGGCGGGAAGACATGCAAATTGCTGTAAACAGGGGTATCAGGAGGCCGCAGGCAGGGAAATCAGGGAGGTGGCAACAGGCACCCTCTTTTTCGCAGCACAGGACAACTGTGTCATCTGCTGCAAGGAGAGGCAAAAAGACCAACCCGTGTAGGATTTGCATACGATCAGAGTAAGAGTGGAATACTTGATGGTGCAGGAGGAAGACAGCCAACTCGGACCCTAGGTACTGAGGGTTGCTAAAAACTGAGAGCACTTACTTACAATGAATGATTCCTTCCAGGATCTACGAAGTCCTTGAAAGCCTAGGACAGACGATATTGCAACCAACCCCCAAACTCCTGGTGTTATTCTTGGAAAATATTAACAGCTACCAATAACAAGTACTATTAATTGCATGCTTTAACATGTTCCAGAAATTTTGCTATTTTACATTTTAATTCATTACTTCTTACAACTCACAAGAAAAGAACTATTACTGCCAGTTTAAGTAAAAAGGGAATAACAACTGTAGACTTTGCTTAACTTTATAATATCTAACATTTATTGGTGTATTCCTTCATGGTAGATACCTTTACATGAATGGCCCTCACTATAACCTCATGAAGCATTACTAGCATGTGAATTTATTTTACAAAGAAGGACACACAGGCCTAAAGAGACAAACGATAACTCCTAGGCCACAGTGACAGTAAGCTTCTCGCCTGGTTCGAGCCCAGTCAGGCCCGACGGCCTCGCTCCTGAATTCTGTGGTTCTGGCTCAGGCGGGGTGATGCGGAGGTGAGGGGAGCTCTCTACTTGGTTCTGAGCTGTTGGTGCCACCTCTGTTCCCCGTATTTTAGTCAGAAATTAGCTTTAATAAGCTATTTCTTCAACTTGTAGTTTGTTGGCCTATACTTCTTAGAAAAACTTACAAAAACAGCCCAACAGTAGGCTGGGTTTTTCTGCTTACAAGTAAAATGGCATCGTTGCCTTAAATGGGACTATATGAAAAAGGAATTCAGTCCCTCTAAGGAAGGGTCCTTGACAATGACTACTGCTGTAAAGTGAAACAATAGCAAATTTTTGAGCTCAACGCCTTTGCTGAAAGATTAAAATAGAAGTCACCAGTTCAGAATCAGTGAAATGTGCTGCATGAGCTGGACCAGAACTCATCAATGGCCCCCTCAAAGCGAATACTTAAAGCATCTTTACACCGTAGTTACTATTTATCATTGGTAGATAAAAGTGCATTCCATACTTAGTAATACTATCTTCCCCTAGATAGTATTGCCAATGGACTGTAAAATAATGATGTCTTAAACCTGTCACCGAACTTTATTTATACGCTTCATATGAAAATTCCAAGTGAAAAAACTTCCCTAAGCCCCCTGCTAGGTCCACAGCTGAAGTGCACGTTGAAGCATCATTCTCCTCCTATGCTAGGTGTCTTCAAATTGCTCTTTCCAGTTTAAAAGTGGGTGCCCAGGGGATGGGGCCGGGGAATGTGATGTTGTGGGGTTATTCATTTCCGTCACCTCTACCTCTCTCCTTACTGCTTTTCTGATCTCAGCTGCCTAGGGCTCCCTCCTTGCAGCGACCGGACCCACGGTCCCTCAATGCTCCACCACGCGCTGGTGCCCCTGTCCCACCCCGCGTGGCCTGCTTGGCCTCGGGTCCACGGCTGGGGGCTGAAGAGGCGCAGCGTGCGGCTGGCGCGGCTCCGACCCTGGGGGCAGCTCAGCGTCTCCTGGTGCAGCACTTGCCCTTCCCTTTCCATGTGCTCAGAGATGCTAATCTCTTTGCACTCCCTGTGTGCCAGACATGCTTCCATCCAGGACCGTCTCCCATGGCTTTCGTTTGGAAGCGTGTCCCAGCGCTTCTGGGCCAGGCCTGTGTGCTCTGTGGGAGCGCCTGCAGGAGAGTCACAGGGCAGGGCTGTCAGCGGGCTCCTCCGCTGCGCCTGTGGGGCCTGCTCCCCGTGGCTCCTGCCCTTACCGGGCCCCCGGATTTGCTGCCAGTTATGTTCCTACTTTCCTCCAGCCCCTGTGAACGAACACTGGCATAACCATCCCGTTCGTTTTTTGAGAGGGAGAAGGGGGGAGGCACGCTACACGCTTATGAACGCCAGATACAATTTGCCTGGTGGTAAGAGTATGTTATCTACATGTCTAGCATAGCTTATCTAACATATACTTTGTGTTGGTCGATTATACTAATAAATGCACTTTTAAAAACCAAATCTTACTTTACAGATAGGTTTATAAGAAAGCTTTCCATTTTTCCTACCCTTTCCTTACAATCTGCAATTCAAAAACAAAATTTTCTTATTCTGTTCATTACAACTTTATGTTAAGTCAAACACTAAATAATGAATCTTATATCCATGCTCCTCTCCCTTGTCTCAATGTTTAAAAGTTAGAAAGCCTATGTCGCTTTATTTACCTCCAAGCCTTGCTCTGATGGAAATGTCTGGTACTGCCCTGGAATTCCATTTCCAGTCTTGCTTCAGTTCTTCTAATAAAATTTTTTGCCTTTTTAATGTTGTTTGCAATCCCATGTCTGGCCTGGGGACTCGCTGCTGAGGTTTCACATCGCTGAAGGCCACCAGGCTTGGGATGGCTCTGCCAACACCAGGCTTTAAATCGGCATCAGCACCGGGACTCAAAAACCCCGAACAGGGGTCACATAGGGGCACGTCATCGCGCAGCGGAGAGAGCGGATAGTCCGGTCCATACGGTGGGGGGCGGGGGTAGTGTAAGTGGTAGTCCGGCGGGCCTGGCGCAGGATAAGGGTGAAATTTGAGAAAAGTGGGGTTGCCTTTCTTTTCAGTTCTGTCACAGTCATGTCTGTCCTCAACTCCCTTCACAAAAGGCATGTTCATTTTTCTGAAGAGGACAGAGTAGTGTGGGTAATCTATATTCTCAACAGCCTTTGTTCCTGAAAGAATAGATGGTGCAGAGATACTTATCTTTCCAGGTGCGTATTGTGAATGCCTAGCCATAGCCTTTCTCTCCTGTGGAATTCTGGATGACTGTAAGTTGTTTCCGATGACTCCTTTCTCTAGAACCACAAAACTTACACTTCCAATCGTTGAGAGTTGGTTAACTTATCCTAATATTGATGTGGCTTTCTAAATATCGACAGAGTAGGATTTTCTTTTCCTTTGAAAGGTAAGAATTTTTTTCTTGACCGAAAGCCGTACAGGGCAGTAACAGACCAGGACAGAAAAACAAAAACAGAACCCTTGCTGCTTAGCAACAGCTAGAACTGTAACATGTTGGATCACTCATTTCTTCCTATTAAAGGTGGCAGTGCACACTGTCATTAGGCATTGTGTCTTGTCATTCTCCCATGTATTTGCACCAACTGGATAAGATGTGTTTCTATCATAGGACTGTTCCCATTAAGTAAACCCTTCCAGCTGCAGAAGAGCAGAGAGAATGATTCTCTTTCACACGTTCTAACTACAAATGCCCTTGCAGGCTGATAGGGGGTTTTATATATCTTTCTGAACTTAGGTGATAAAAGGCCATTTTCCAGGCTGTGCGTGGCATGAAAATCAGTTTTATGTAACGCGGCTTCCCCCGTTCTTCCCACTCGGCTTCTTCCGGGGGGTCAACGCCTTACTGGCGAGGCTACCGGGTGGGCGTGGCGTGAACACCCCGTAAACGCAACACATTCATAAGAACTAATGGCCGCTATGCGGAGACTGGGGCAATCCTCCGCAGGCTGCCGGCCTATTGATCCTCTCAATGCTCAGTATCTGTTCCTCAGGGCTGGTCCCCACAGCCGAGACTCAGCCTCCCATCAGCTAATGAAAAGGCCTTCTCTGCACGCACGCAAAGGCAAAAGGCGAAGGCGCGCTCGGTTTTTTCTCAGTTCCAGATCCTTCGACAGGCCACCGGTGCTCCTAGGGTTCCCTGCGCGGCAGCGTGGTGCCGGGGGCCCAGGCGCATCCAGCGGGGCAGGTGACACTGCCGTTCTGGGGGACCACAGCGGGCCGAGGCGCGGCGGCCATGTTGGCCCGGCCCCGCCCCCACCGGCGGAAATAGCGGTTCATTCTTCCGGCCGCCATTCCGGTCCGCCGCCCGCCAACTTCCGGTGCGGGAGTGGGCGCGCGCTGGGTAACGACCGTCTGCGCCTACGGTCGGCAGGTGGCGGGCGGCGGCGTGTGTATGGAGGCCTCGGCCCCCAGCCGGGCGCGGCGGGGCAGGCGGCAGGCCCGGGCCGCGGGCTTCCGGTTCCTCCGGGCCGCGGTCGTCCTCCTGCTCTCCGCCTTCGTAGTGCAGGCGCCCCCGGCAGGTGAGGCCTGGGCGCCGCCGCCGGTCGGCCTGGGCGTGGCTCAGGACGTGGGCGTTTGTGTCACGTGCACCGCGGACCCCCCCAGAAGCGTCCTCCCCGTTGACACCTGGCCGGAGTCCTAGGGAGGAACCCACATGTCCCGGGGGCGCAGGACGGGGACGTTAATAACGTGCGCACAGGAGCGGCCGTCACACGCCCGCAGTCACGTTTCCTCGCTGGGTCGGCTGTTACTAAGCGCCCTGAGCGGTCGGCCGGGCTTCGCCAGCGCCACCTGCGCCCGGGCGGTGCTCAGTGTGGCTCCGAAGGAGCCGGCGGCCGCCGTTTGTGACTGTCGGCGGTCCTGGAGCGCCACCTGTTGGTTTTAGCTGTTCATGCAGGGAACGCTCGGAGTTTAGTTTTGACATCTTGCCGCCCCAGTTTGTTTTCTCCTGTGTGCGCACTCAACCGATATACTTTTCCATCCTGTTTTCAAGTTACGTCTAAGATGCTGATGAGCAAGCACGCAACTGAGAGTTGACTCGAACTGTTGTCACGTAACTGGAAAGGTTTTGGTGGCGTTCTTTTGTGTTCAGATTTTAGACTTTAAAAAAAAAATAATAAAGTGTCTCCAAGAGTCGAATAACAAAAAGCATGACCGTGATTTGTTTAAAATTCTAGAAATTGTTCGAATAAGGGAGAATGTGAAAAGAAGTCCCGCCAAGAATATAAAGGTAGAAGGGCTGTGGAGGTAGGCATGGGGTTAGGAGGAGAAAGGAAGGCAATTGAAGGAAAGTTACAGGGGACACCACTTCTAGGCGTCAGGGCTGTGAGAGTCGTGCTTGTGGCGGAAGCAGGGAATAGCCGGGAACCTGTCATTACCCTGGAGAGGAAGGGTGCTTCCTGAGCTCGACCCAGGGTCTTATACTAGACACGATAGGGTGCGCGCGCCTTCTTCTGATCCAGGAAGAAAATCAGACTTACGGGTATAGAAAGTACAAGACGCAGGCACTATTATAACCTGGACACTATGAAGGATCAAGACTGATGTTAACGCAGTGTGTAGTTTATTCCATTGAGTTCCTGCAACAACTCCATAAATCTGGAATGTAGTCTCATTTCGCAGATGAGAAAAACGAAGGATTTAAACTCAAGCCTTCTGACTTTGCATACTATACTCTTTTTGCTTTATTCCCTCTCTATTAAAGGTAATTTGGGTAATGCTTTATAGAATTTTTAAAATACTCTTCCTTCCATTAGTTCTGTGCACACTATTGTGTCCATCACACTTGGCCATTCAACAATGACTGGAGAATATCAGAATACATGGCATTTAACAATCATTTAATATTCACTATGTGCAAGATAGAGTGCTTGCTACTGATTGTTGATATGTTGACCCAAACACTGATCCTATTAGAAATCGGGCTTTTAAAATAATAAGGAAAATTATATATGTGCACAAAGAACTGTAACAGTGTTGAGTGGGTGTTACAAGAGAGGTGCTGATGCCTTGTGGAAGGTTGGAGGTGATATTGGCAGACAGAGGGTTTGAAGGAGGAGGGGACATCCTGTGATCTGAAGGATGCTGGGTTTAGACTTTTGCAAATGAAGAGTGTTTTAAGTGGATATAGAAAAAGCTGGGGGGAAGAGATGGTCGGGGAAGCAGGGCATAGATAATTACGTTGGTGCCCATCAGGGCAGTATAGTTGGAACAGGGAGGCAGGGGTCAGGGGACACTGCTTAATGGCTCATCCCTTCAACCAAGGTCAAATATGCTCTGATGCTGTACTTTTGGAATATCTTGGAATTTCTCATGAGGCAGATTATTGCTCATTTCTTTTTGTATTTTTGATAGTTGGAGATTTGATTCGATTACCAAGAGGTTTTCATTTGACCAAAGATGTGCTGAAAATAGTGGGATCACCAAATTATCCAGGTATCAATAGATAGATTTTCAGTAATTTTAAGGAAGTAATTAGCATTTATGTAAATTTTATTAGCCTTGTCCAAAAGTCTAATGTTCTTCATTTATCATAGTCTCCTAAGGCACTTTTTCTTCTATGACAATGGATTTAAGTTGTTTCTATATAGTTAGGTTAATCCAAATCTAATTCTGTAACTGCTTAAGTGTGCAAAAATAGTTATTTCTAAAAGTTATGTAGAGTTGTTTATAGTGTTTTCTTATTATGTAATAATTACCATATTATTAAATGTGTACAGTTGAAATATACTAGAACTTTTTTCAAGTGAGATCTACATATCATAAAGATTTTGGATTCATAAGATTTTGCAGTAGTCACATGAAGCATAGCAAGTAAAATTTTTAGAAACATTTTCTTAATCAGGTAAATTCATGCATCTTAAAACCCCTCCTTTAAAGCCTATGATCCGGTCGTTTTTAGTGTATTAACAAGTCGGTGCAGCCACCAACCCCACGTAGTTTTCATGTCATCGCTCCCTAACGAAGTGCCATGTCCATTAAGTGACCACATTACAGCTCCTGGGAACCCCGATCTGCCCCCTGCCCCTGTGAATCTGCTTGTTCTGGACACTGCGTGTAAGTGGGATGGCGCGCCGCGTGGCATTTCGTGTCGGGCTTCTTTGGCTCAGCATGTTTCCAGGGTCATTCATATTATGGAACTTGTCAGTACTTCGTTTCTTTTTATGGCCGACTCATATTCTGTTGCGTGGACGTACCACTTTCGTATATCCACCAATTGATGGATATTTGGGGAGTTTCAACTTAGTGGCTATTTTAAATAATGCTATTGTGGACATTCCTGGTCAAGTGTCTTTGTGGACATATGTTTTCAACCCTCTTAGTCTGTGTGACGTGGATTCTCACTGTGGTTTTGATCTGCATTTCCCTAGTGAATAATGATGTTGAACCTCTTCTCGTGTGTTTATTAACTAGTCATATATCTTCATGTAGAAATGCCTGTAAATGTTCCTTACTCACTTTAAAATTGGGTTAGTATTTTTATTATTGAGTTGAAAGAGGTTTTTTTTTAAAAAAAAATACATTCTGGATATTAGACTCTTATCAAATATTTGACTTGAAAACACTGCCTCCTGTTCTGTGGATTGTGTTTTCATTTTTTAAATTGTGTCCTTTAATGCATGTGTTGTAAACTTTGATAAAGTCCAGTTTCCTTTTGTAATTTGACACTGGTACTTCAGCTGTCATGTCTTCAGAACAGTTGCATAATCAACACTCACAAAGTTTTAAGCCTATGTTTTTTATAAGAGTTTTATGATTTTAGATCTTGTATTAGGTTTTTAACCATTTTGAATTAATTTTGAATATGGTGTGAGGTGAGGGGTCATACTTTTTGTTTGCACGTAGATATCCAGTTGTTCCAAAGCCACTTGTTCGAGAGGATTTTCCTTCTCTCTTTCTCTCTTGAACTGGCTCGGTGCTCTTGTTGAAGAGCCGTTTCTCAGGTGTGTGTTGTTTTCCCGGCCTCTGAATTCTGTCCCATCGACCTGTATGTCTGTCCTTAGGCCGGTGCCATAGTGTCTCCGTTACTGTTGTTTTGTAGTAAGTTTTGAAATCAATAAAGGTAGTTCCTTCAAATTTGTCACTTTAAAGATTGTTATCTCTATTCTGGGTCCCTTGAAATTCCATATTAATTTTAGCATTAACTTGTCAATTCATGCAGAAAGTCTATTGGGATTTTAGTATGGGTTGCCTTAAATATGTAGATCAGCCTTGGGGTATTACCACCTTAACAATATTAAGTCTTCCGATTCATGAACATGCAGTATTTTTTCACTTATTTAGGTCTTTAAGTTCCCTCAGTGATGTTTTATGGTTATCAGTGCACAAGTCTTGCACTTCTTTTGTTAAATTAATTCCTAAATTTTTTTTGATGTTATTGTAAAGGCAGTGGTTTTTTTTTGTTGAGTTTTTGGACTGATCATGCCTATTCGATAGAAATACGACTGAGCTTTGCGAACTAACATGGTGCCCTGCCACCTTGCCGCCTTGCTGAACCGTTTATTAGCTCTAGTGTGTGTGCGCACACGTGTGCAAAGGGAAGAGGGATTCATCTTCAGGATTTTCTATATGTAACATCATGCCATTTGCAAGTAGAGAGAGTTTTATTTCTTTCTTCCCAATCTGGATGCTTTTTTTCTTGCCCGTTGCTCCCGCCGGAAACTCCTCCAGTTCAGCAGTGATGATAGCAGATGCCTTAGCCGCATCCCTGATCTGAGAGGGAGGGAAAGGTTTCCGCCTTTCACCGGTGAGCAGAGTGGCAGCTGTGAGCTTTTGGTAGAAGCCCTTAATCAGGTGGAGAGAGTGCCCTTCCATTCCTAGTTTGTGAACTGCAGGCAGCACGACTGTGAAAGGGTGGTAGGCTTTGTCCAGTGTTTTTCTGCGTATATTGAGATGATCATGGGGTTTTGCCCTTTATTCTAGTGATATGGCATGGTACCACATTGAATGATTTTTGACTTTTGAACTAGCCTTGCATTCCTGCGATGTATAGCCATTGATTGTGATGGATAATCAATACCTTTTCACGCTGCTGGACTTGGTTGCTAGTATTTGAGGGATGTTTATGTCTATGTTCAGGCAGGAAACCTGTCTGTAGTGTTGTTCTTGCGCTGCATTTGTCAGGTGTTGGTCTTAGGGTAACAGCCGCTCTGCAGAACGAGTTGGGATGTGTTCCCTCTTATTCTATTTTTAGGAAGCGTTTGGGAGCTATTGTTGATTGATTCTGCTTTGCTTGTTTGGAAAAATTCACCAGTGAATTCATCTGGGGTGGGCTTTTCTTTGTGGGAATTGTTCTGATCACCAGTACAAACAGTTTATTTGTATTAGGTCTATTCAGAGTTCCTGTTTCATTACGGTCTCAGAGGAGAAGTGAGCTACTGATTTTACTGAGCATTAGATGGGTGTAATGCCTTGCTTCTCTCTTGCTGTTTTCAAAATTCTGCCTGTGTTTTGGGATGTTGACTGCTAATTATGATGTGTCTAGGTGTGGATCTCTTTGAATTTACTGTAGTTTGAGTTCATTAAGTATCTTGGAAGGGTAGAGTCATGTTTTGTTTTTTTTTTTTAATCAACTTTGGGAAGATTTTGTCTTCATTTCTCAAATATTTTTTCTGTCCCCTTCGCTCCAGTTGTCAGTAGGACTTCCGTCGCACATACCCTGGCATACTCGGTGGTGCCCACAGGCCGCTGAGTGCTGTTCATTTATAGTCATTCTTTTTTTCTGCTTGTCAGCGTGGATGATCCCAAAGTGATTTACCATCCAGTTTATTTTTTGTTTCATCTGCTCAGATCTGCCGTTGATTCTCTATAATGAATTTTCCAATTCAGGTATGCTTTTTAATCCAGAATTTCTTCTGATTCTTTTAAATACTTTGTCTCTTTATTGATAGCCTCTCCTTCACTCTTTTCTTCAGCGCTTTAGGAACGACGTTCTTTGATCCTCCTTCGGGGCCTCGGGCCTTCTGCGGGCACATGGCTAGGCCACGCGCCGGTCCCGCCCCTGCTGGGGCTGCCGGATTCCCCGGGGCAGAGCGGGGCTTCCCGGGTCCTCCTGGGTGCGCCCCCGCAGACGCGCCGAGCCCCGCTTGCCCTGGCCCTCGGGCACCAGGCAGCCACAGAGTTGGGGGGCAGCCTCTGGGCGTTTGCGACGAATGACGCGGGAGAAAGCCTCGCGCAGCGGGCGCGCCCCAAAGGGGGTCAAGGAAACCTGCCCTTGGGAATGGCGTCTTTCAGGAAACTGCCAGAAGCGTCAGCGAACAGCGGCTCCCCCGGGTCGGGGTCGGGGAGGCCTTGGAGACCCTGGGACCTCCACCTCCTCCTGGCGGCCAGCCAGCGGGCGGCCCGGTGGCGCGTGGCTTCTCTCGGCTCCCGCGGGGCCGGGGGCGGGGACGAGGCGAGCGAGGCCGCGGTTCCCTGTCAGGCCCGGCGTCCTCGCTCCAGGGCCGCAGTGACGACGCCCGGAACGCCGAAGGCGTGCGCTCTTGCTGGGGGCGGGGGCGGGCCCGGTCCAGTGCCTGCTCCGCTGGCACGCGGTCGTCCCCTCCAGCGGCGCCTCACGGGGCTGCCCCCCGCATTTGTCGGGGTGGCTACGCACCCGCTTTAGCAGGACCCCGACGTGCTGGATCTGGGTCCTCCCCCGCGACCTGGCCGGAACCCCGATGGCTGCTGTCAGGAGTCCGTCTCCGTATAAGCTGGTGTCCACGGTGCTGGCCCTAGGGATTTGGCCACAGGACTTCGGGGAGACGCGTAATTCCACCCATCACACCGAGATACGGTTGTTTTTCTTCGGTACCTTTTTGCTGGGTTGTTGCAGGTCTGATTAATTTCCACAGTTACGAAAATGGTGAGTTCTAGCAGTTTCTGCCACTTTTCTCATTACCTTTATTAAGGAGATACTTTTTGGAGTTCTTTGTTCCATCGTTTTCACTGCTCTCACAGCTTTTATTACAGCTTTTCTTTTAAAACTGTAACTTTAGACCTAAATTATAAAACAATTATGTAAAAGTAATTTCCTTTTCCACTGCTTTTTTATTGGTTATTATTTATTTATAAAAATAGATTAGCATTTCAGTTCATCATCTATTTTTTATGTCACAAAGCATAGCGTTATGTGATATTTCACTGATTCGCCTCCGTAGAAGCCCGGCTGCCTGACTTTTTCTCCTGCCTAGAACCCCTTCAGTTGCTTCTGCCACCCCAGGCTCCAGCGTCTCCTCCGCCAGCCTCCTCCCGCTCACGCACATGTTACGCTCACTTCTCTGTCCCGCTGGTCTTTATTTTCATTCACTCATGTAGCCATAGGTTGAGCAGTCATTTCTCTACATCCTTGTTGCATTTGTAATCCGTTCCATTTTGGGAGTGTGTGTGTGTGTGTGTGTGTGTGAGAGAGAGAGAGAGAGAGAGAGAGAGAGATGAACCCCGTTCTGTGGACTCCTTTATGCACCTGTTGCGAAGGGCCCCAGGTCTCCGTTCATCATCCTGGGGCCGGAGCAGCCTCAGTCCCGCTGAAATTGCCCTCCAGAAGGGCTGCGTCAGCCGAGGCTCCCACCTGCGGGTGCCCCCGCCCACGTCCTCGCCAGCTCGAAAGGTCACCGCGTGTTTCCGATGTGCTAAGCTGAAAGGCATGCTGCCTCCGCACATCGCTTTTCTTGCAGTTTTCAAAGGAGGCCTTTCCATGCTGTTTCCGTTTCAGTTATGAATCCATGAGCGGCGGTCCTTGTTGCAGGTGTCTGCCAGGTGTCGGGGGTCCTGCTCCCTGTCCCGGGCACTGGCTTTGCCTGTGCTGTACAGAAGTGAACAGACACTGTTAGCATTTAAGGTGTTACTTGTGCCAGGCTTCCGAAGATGCGAAGGCACCAGCCGCCGAGGCGAGGAGAGCCAGGCAGCAGCGGCCCGGCCTGCAGCCCCGGGAGGCCGGGGGCCTGGCCAGGCGTGGGCAGGGGTGCAGGGAGGGTGCGGGATGGGGGCAGGGCCAGTGGGCCAGGCTGAGGGGCTGCAGGAGCGCGGCCTCACACCGTCAGCCTGTGTGGAGGGAGCGAGGGGAGGGGGGCAGTTTAAACTAAGGTGGATGGCAAAGCAGTAACAGGAGAGACTGGTGGAAGGGATCGGAGCAGAGTCACAGGTGAAAGGCATCCAAAGGCCGCCTTTGGAACCACGCGTGGACGAACTTGGGGAATGCTTCGTGAGAGAATGGGAAAGTGAAATGTAGCTCATGGGCACACAGAGAGAGTACAATTTAAACATGGCAACTCAATATTCTGAATAACTTCATGCTAATACACTTGAAATAGACAACTATGGTTAAACATAGATTTCTAAAACAGACTTGATTCCATTACTTAGTCATTGATAATCAGTTACATTCTCCTGATTGGTAAGTAAAATTTTGTTTTTCTACTTCCCCTTGCCAAATAAAAGAGCACCAAGTTTAGACTTTTTCCAGGACAAAAAACACCACATATTATTTTAGGGAAAACTTACAGAAGAAATCTTCCCAGTTCATTTTGTGTGGTGGCTGTTACAGCCTTAGATCTATGCCTGCCTTCATTGTCCCGAACGCTGGATGACAATCTTGATGCTGACACTGGGAAAGCACAAAAGGTAGTATATGGCAATTGATACGTATTATATATATAATGTATTATATATATATATGTAAGTATCCTAGGGAAGGTGTTTGCAAACTGAATCCAGCAGATTTTAAGTAAAAGAGCATGATCAGTTAGAATTACTTCAGAAAAGCAATCTGGTGACATTAAACATCTCATTAATATATTCAAGAGAAGAAAATTAAATGATTGCCTCAGTCAATACAGGAAAAAAACATTTCTTAGGATTTAACCTCAATTTTTGGTTAAAAGATGACCAAGAATAAAGGGGAGCTTTGTTAAGCAAAGGAAGGACATCTGTCTAAGAGCTACATTCCGTAAACATCATGCTGACTGGTGAAAACGTACACATTCTTTCATGTTAAGAAGAATTTTGATTCTTAAAAACCGTTTTTATATTACTGGGTCTCAGAAATCTTTGTGTATGTTGAAGCGGTGAAGAGTTGGCAAGCAATTACTGAGAAGCTGTTGGAACCTTTTCTTAAAGCTTGCTTATGAGTAAGTTCAGGACAATTTAATTTTTACTGTGTTCCTTTTGTGTCTTCTAAAGACTGATTTTTGCTTGTTTAATGATCAGGATTATTTAAATTTTAAAGCAAAGTGGTAAAATGCTTAATAATTAAAATCAAAGTACATAGTTGTTGACTTTTTCATTACATTAGAGTTTTTTAATTCAGTGCATCGTGGTACATCATTGTGAATAATGTTCTGTTCTTTTAAACAAAGTTATCTGTTTCTTTCATGTGTGGTGTCTTAGCCAGAAAAGTACAGATATAGAATTTTGTTAATACTTTATAATTAATGTAATATTCTGAGAATAAAATAAATTAGTATATGTGAACTCTTAATAAAAAACAACCAACGCATTATGCTCTGATTGAGACACACACACACACACACACAGGTAAAATATATTTTTTTAAATGTTAGTCACATGGAATGCAATGAAATTGAATTTCTTATTGCCTAGTAGCAATAATCCAAACAAAACTTATGAAAACATGTAATCCAAACTGCAAAAACGAATGCACGTAAAATGTTACCGGCACATTTGAATGTTGTATTTCAGTGAAAGTCTATGTTATGCTCCATCAGAAGAGCCCGCACGTGCTGTGTGTGACCCAGCGGCTGCGGAACTCGGAGCTGATAGACCCGCAGTTCCAGTGGCACGGGCCCAAGGGGAAGATCGTCTCAGGTAGGCCGCTCGGCCCTTCCTGCCACCGCCACGGCCGGCTGGGCATGGCCGGGGCGCACCGAGGACAAGGAGAATGTCTGGGTTCTACACGCCCTTACCGAACCCCTGCCCCCTTTCCTTGTGCTGTTGTTCGGAGTTGTAGTCTAACGGCGTGGAGGGGCGACCGCTTCTCACAGGTCCTCAGCTGGGGTCAGCCAGGCGGGCCAGTGAGGATGCTCTCCGGAGGGTCCACTCACCATCTGCGTTCCACACAAAAGGTGTCGCACTTTTGTAAAGTCCATAGAATCGTTTTGGTCCCCTTGATCAGACTTCTGTTAGTAGTGCCTATACCAAGAAGCAAATGTGATTCGGGCTTTTGTTAAAAAACACAAGTGAATGCTTTGGGCCTTAGGCTTGTAAATGTGGTTTTGTTTGTTTTCTGAGGCCCCAAGCAGGGACAGTTTGGGACTTCATTAGCAGTTACAATTTTATACTTTTTATTTTGTATTTCTATCTGACCAAAGTCCTGACGATGTGGGTATTTGAATGTAACCTAAATATTATTATCACCTTTGAAAATAACGACTGACTTTAATGTTGAATGCGTTCCCACCAGAAGCACGCGCATAAACCCCCTGTGTGCCTTGAGAGCGGCCATGTGTCGCTGCAGAACCGACGCTGAGAGAGTGAGGGAGTGCGGGCGTGGGGCTCGGCCGGGCACAGGTGGGCGCAGGGTCCCTCCGCGTGGCACCTCGCGTGTCCCGCATTTCTGAGGAAGCCAGCGCTCATTCTCACGGAGGCGCTCTTTCCCACACAGCAGTTGCTATTGGTATGACTCATTTGATGAACATTTTCTCCATTCGACTTCTTATTTTGTCATTTTGAAATGCATATCTTATTTTTATTCTGATTTTTCATTTGCTAAATACTGATTTGTTTTTGCAGTGTAGTTAAAAAAAAAAACAGATGAGCTCAGCCTTGTGCTCAGAGTTCAGATGAGTTTTCATCGTAAAGGTCAGTTCAGCAAAGCGTCTGATCATCTTCGCACACGGTCTAAGGATGTTTTTCTTTCCTGTTCTGTTCACCATGTTCTCTTTCTTTCTCTTTTTCTTTTTTAACCCTTATTGGCATACTAAGGTAGGCATACTCTTTCCTCCTTGCCAAGGAAAACCCACAGGTTTTTGTCCTCTTGGAGGAAGAAATGTATTTGTACAAAGGCTTGCTAAAGAAACATGCGAAATATTTGTTTTGTTGTATGTTTTAATATGTAGTTGAGAGATCTCAGCTGCACCTTAGTATGAAGCATCTGACATACGCACATGTATATAAGATGTATGCACGTTATGAAGCACAACAAAACAACATCCACGAGGGTGGATACAAGTCAAGATGCACTTTTACCAGGACCGCAGACCTCCTGATCAGTGGTATAAAAAGTCCCCTGCCCTTCCATCGGGTAAACGTTATCCTGAACTTTTACGGTATTATTCCCTAGGTTTTCTTTATGCATTTACCATGCATATAAAGGCACACACGCACATATGTGCATAAATGTATATGTCTGTGTGTATTTTGCAAGAGTCCTTCCAGTGTTTTTATTTGGAGTTTTATACAGGCCACCAGCACAGGCAGCGTTGTTCGTGCCGTGTCTGGTGCAGCTCCAAGCAGGTCACACACCAGCCATTCCTTTGTGCCACAGCCCTTGGTCGCAGGCCCAGCCCTGCCCCCCACGTGCGTGTGGAACTGCTGTGCACACGCCCATGAGAGCGCCCCGCTCAGCCCATGGAGCGCTTAGAACCGGCTCCTTGTGTGGCCGTTGGCCCTTCGCCACATGGGCAGCCGCGCGGTGGCCGGCCATGGTCAGTGCCGTTCCGGGGTGAAGGCCATCAGCCTCTGCCGTAAGTGAACAGCAGGCGCCACGGCGACCAGGCCTCCGGCCCCTGGAATAAGTCTGTGGGTAAATGTTGATGGCTTTGCTCTGTCGGGAAACAGTTTGTCGTTTTTTTCTGTCGCCATCTTTGAAGAAACTGACCCCAGCACCGTTTCTCCCGCAGAAAACAGCAGCATGCACATCACCTCCACGGGCAGCCTGGTCTTCCAGGACTTCGAGGAGGGCCTGACCGGGGCCTACACGTGCTTCCTCGAGTACAAGCCCACGGTGGAGGAGGTGGTCAAGAACCTGCAGCTGAAGTATCTTATCTACGGTGAGGCGCGCCTGTGGCTGCCCGCTGTCCCCTCCGAGCGCTGGCCTCGGTGGCAGTTCTGTGTTAGGTTTTGTCGGGGCTGCTCTCTTTTAATTGAGGAGAAACCACTGCCTGGTTTCTATGCTTCACAAAGCACATTGTCAGCGGTTCCTGGCGAGGACAGGGCCTCATCCTGGGGCGATGGTCGGTGGTGGGCACTGCAGGCCCTTGAATGGCAGGAGCGCGGGGGCGAGCGTGCTCTCTCCCGGGGCTGGCCTTCCACCGGGCCTGGGCCCTGGGAGGTAGTCCGGGCCGTGTACCTGTGACCTCGCCCCTTCCGTGGCTGCGGGCCCCTCCGCCGCGGGCTCCCCTGCGGGTCGTCGCGCGCCCGCTGCGGAGCGCCCGCTCCTCCAGGCGCTCGGCCCTGCTCAGAGGCTGCGCGGACATGTTTGTTTCTGCGGCGCCGAGGCCCGCGTGCCGTGGGCAGGCCGCATGCGCGGTGCCGGCGGCCTGTCCCGGGAACTGCCGAGCCCTTCCCGGGAGGGCAGGCCGGTTTGCGCGCCCCCAGCAATGGGGGGCGCGGGCACGTCTGGGTCCTCACTGGCACCTGCGGCAGCAGAGTCTGTAACGTCAGCTGTTTTGAAAGTGTGAAGAGACACGTCGTCGTGGTTTTCGTTTGCATTCGCCCAGTGTCTAGTGATCTCGGGCATGTTCTTATGAACGTGTTTACTATCTGTACATCCTCATTGCTGAAATGTCTTTTGATATCTCTGTCCCATTTTCTAACGGATTGTTTGATATATTGCTGTTGAGTTTTTCAGAATTTCTTCATAACTATATTTATAGATACTATTCTTTTATTGATTGTTATTTTCAACTATTTCTTTTGGTCTGTAATTTGTGCAGTATCTTAATGGGATCTCCCCGACCTCCGCAAAGGGAGCATATCCAGAATACTTTCTTTAACCTTAACTTTTTTTTACCTTTGACTCCCTTTATCCCAACCTCAGCCCCTGACTCCGGCAGCCAGCAATCCACAGTCTGTTCTCTGCCTGTAGGAGTTTGTTTTTCTTTTTTCTTTTGTAGATTTTACATGCGGTGTCACATGGTATTTGTTTTTCTCTGACTTACTTCGCTTTGCATAATGCCTACAAGGTCTATCCATGCTGTTGCAAATGGGAACATTTTGTTTTTATGTATATATGAATATACAGCACCACTTCCTTAGCCATTCGTACTTCAGCAGACGCTCAGTGTGTCTCCAAAGCCTGGCCATTGTGCACGGCGCTACAGTGAACGTGGCGGTGCACATGTGTGTACTGGTTAGAAATTCAGAAGAATTATTCATGGCTTCCTACGTTAATTTTCTTTGGAATTTACCCAAAGTTAGGGTGAGAGGGAGTGTGGTTTTCATTTATGCTTTTGTTTTCTTCAAGTAGATACCCAGAGTGGAACTGCTGGAGCCTATGACAGCTCTAGTTTTAGTTTTTTAAAGAACCTCTGCCCTGTTTCCCATAGTGGCTGCACCAATGCACAGCCCTGCCAGCCGTGCACATGGGTCCCCCTTCCCATGTGCCAACACCTGTTTCTTGCTTTTTTCATACTAGTTGCTCTGATTAGGGTGGCCTTCTGGTAATTGTGAGGTGACGTCTCATTGTTTTGATTTGCATTTCCCTGAGGTTGAGGGACGGTGAGCATCTTGCCATGTACCTGTGGGCCAGCTGTATGTCTTCTTTAGAAAAATGTTTCTTCATGTTTTCTGCCCACTTTTTAAATTGGATTGTTTGTTTGTTTGTTTGTTTCACTGTTGAGTTGTATGAGTTCTTTATATATTTTGGAAATTAACCCCTTAGAAGGTATATGACTTGCAAATATTTTCTCCCATTTGGTAGGTTGCCTTTTCATTTTGTTGATGGTCTCCTTTGCTGTGCAAAAGCTTTTTAGTTTGCTGTTGTCTCACTTGCTTATTTTTGCTTTTGTTGCTTTTGTTCTTGGCGTCAGATTTAAAAGTCCCTGCTGAGACCTATGTCAGGGAGCTCACTGCCTGTGCTCTGCAAAGAGCTACGGCTGAAGGTCCTAACGCGCAAGGCTGTCACCCATACGGGGTTGATTTTTGGGTGCGGTGCGAGGTAGCGGTCCTGTCCATCCTCCTGCTTGTGGCTGTCCAGGAGAGACTGCTTTTTCCCCACTGTGTGCCCTTTGCTCCCTTGTCATGAATAAATTGGCCATGTGTATAATGGGGGGACACAGGAGAGAAGAAAAGATAGGGATTAAAGCAATACTTGAAAAACTAATGTCCAGAAATGTCCCAATGTGATAAAGTACATGAATCTACATATTCAGGAAGATCAATGGAATTCAAGTAGGACAAAAACAAAGAATTTGGTACTGAAACATTATAATCAAACAGTCAAACATCTAACACCAGGAGATAATCTTGAAAGCAACAACAAAAAGAAGTAACCTGTTACATACTAAGAGTCTGTAAGAAGATTAAAGGCAGATTTCTTATCAAAAACCATGGAGGCCAGAAGGCAGTGAGATGGTGTAAATAATGTATTTACCCCGACACTAACTTCCCTGACGAGTTGCCATCTAGTGGAACCACTCAAGTAACCGTTTTCGTCTCTGTTTGCTCTTTCCCCAGCGTATCGTGATCCTCGCTTTTATTACCAGTTCACAGCTCGGTACCACGCAGCTCCTTGCAATAGCGTCTATAATGTGTCTTTTGAGAATAAACTTCTACAGATTTTAAGCAAACTGGTTCATGACCTTTCGTGTGAAGTTTCATTACTGAAGTCTGAATGCCATCATGTTAAAATGCAAAAAGCTGGTTTTCAAAATGAATTGTTTTTTAAATTTGCAGGTGAGTATACGCAATTTTTTAAAGAAAATAAGTTGAGAATACAAAGCTAATTTTCAAGACACGTGAATTACCAGCAGTGGTTTCAAAATGTAAATGTTATGAAACTGGCATTTTCACGTTCTCTACTTTGACTTAGTTCTAACAGCTCTCAAAATAAAATCCTACTCATTTATGTACTTAGTGAGAAGTTTGTACTCAAAGAGCTTAAGTTTTTCTCTGATAATTTACTTTAGAATGGAATTTAGTATAAGGAACGTCTGTTATTTAGCTATAAAAATTTAATTTGTAAAAGTGTCTAATTACAGTAAGACTGGTTAATGTTATAAACCAGAGCGAGCATTCTAACAGCTTGGGGTGGTTTCCCTAGTAATGCAGAGTGGAGACCCAGTATTTTCTGGAAAAAAATGGGATTTCACAGCAGGAAGGGGGCGTCCCCGGTTCTGTCTGTCCTTCCCGCCGCTGCGGCCCTCGGCCTCGTGGGCGCCCTCGTCCCTTCTCCCCCTGCCCTGCCAGGTGGTCCTGGCGCAGCTGCCCTTGAGCCCCTGGACTCTTCCCCGGGCCCGAGTGTGTGGCAGGAAGCCTCCAGCCGGTTCCTCACCCAGGGTGTTGTGATTGCCGGTACAGAATTTCTCTTCGGTCCTTTTGTACGAGTGCTTTCTCTTTATTGATATTATCTGCGTATCAAGGCACCATTTTTCTGTGTTTTTGTCCATTATTTTCTTTAGCTTTTTAAAAAAAAAATCTTTTTCTTTTATTGATTCCAGAGAGAGGGAGAGGGAGAGAAAAAGAGGTAGAGAAATGTCAATGTGAGCGAGAAACATCCGTTGGGTGCCTCTTGCATGTGCCCCACCTGGGGCTGAACACGTGACCCAGGCCTGTGGCCTGGCAGGGCATCGAACCCGTGAGGCCTTTGGTTTGTGGGACGACCCTCCCACCCACTGAGCCCCACCAGTCAGGCCAGGCATTGAACGTGTTCAAGATAACTGATTTCGGGCCATGTCTAGTCAGTCCAGTGGCTGTGCTTCCTCAGTGACAATTTCTGTTACTTTTTAATGAATGGTCCATACTTTCCTTCCTTTGCATGCCTTGTAAATTCTTTTGAAAAGTGTGCATTTTGAATATTCTAATATAATCCTCTTGGGATCAGATCAGACTCATCGACCTCCATTGTGTTTGTTGTTGCTTGCGTGGGTCTAGTTTTCCATTCAGTGACTTTTTAAACTACTTTTGTGAAAATTGTGTTCTTCGTTGTATGTGATCTCTGACGTGTCACTTGATGGTAGGTTGTGCGTCGATACAGATTTCTTTAAACGTTGTGTTTAAGTCAACCTTTGTTAATTTAGCTTTCACTTGGTGGTTTTCAGCAGTTAACTGTTTTCCAACAAACAGATTCGGACAGCTTTGGCCGTTTCTCGGCATTTCTGAGGTAGGACGCCGCCCGCAGTTTGCTCCCCCACCGTGTCTGTTGCTGTCCCCCGGGTGCCCTCGCTGTTTGATCTGGTCGGGAGCTCATCCTGACTGACGGGCAGGCAGTTTGCTGCGGGACGAGGTTAGCCATCCGGCCCCAGGAGAGAGGGCGACACACAGCAGGAGGCGGGAGCGCGGGCGCGCGCCCCCCCAGGCCCGGGAGCCCCTGCCCCGAGGGCGCCGGTCGGTCGCGGCCGCGCGGCGCCGGGGCGCTGCCTGCTGGCTCTCGCTGCCGCGGCTCCTGACGTTTCCCCTCACAGTGCGCTGGTCAGTCACCTGAGGGATCACCGTCTGCGCTTATTCTGTGGTTGGTTCCGGTAGTTTTGCTTTCATTAAGTGAACAGATTCTAATTAACTCTGTAATGTAAACGTTTATAAAGAGTCAAAGTAAAAAAAGATTGTACACTGTCCTGATGAGCCGACCTCCTAATCACGTCCGGACACACGGGCAAAGCCTGGTCGACCGTCTTCCGATTTACTGCGCAGGCAGTGCTTTCGGGAGCTTTACCTCAAGTGAGGAATGTTTGACAGGCTTGGCTGCATTTTGCCAGTGCCTTTTGTAACTCCATTGTATATTTGTGACACCTAAATTTAGAGGTGTCACTTTTCTTTGGTCTAGATTTAGGAAGGTCTCATTTTAAAAAAAAATTAAGGTAAAAATAGGCCATAAGAAACCTTTTCCTCGAAACTTACCGCCTTCCCCGGAAGGCCGCTTCAGAGCGCGCGCCGCCCGGGCTGATCTGTGAAACCGCGGCGCCGCCGCCCGGCCCGCGCGGCGGGACTTCCGTGTCTGACGGCGCAGTCGGGGCGCCCGTCCTCACCGGCTCTGCGGCTGCGAAGTCTGACTCGCTACACGAGCCTTCCAGGTTTTTAAAACTCCTCTTCCAACCCAAAAGTGCACCGTAATAAGTCACAGTAAAGGTTAGGACGGCAAAGCGGAGGTCGTTTATTTGCACAGCGTGTGAACTTGACAGGGGCGGGCCCGGCCCGGGCGGGGTCAGGGGCCGGCGCGGCGCGCGGTTGGCCCCGGGCCCCGGCGCGCGCAGAGCCCGTCCTCGGGGAGGCCGCACCTGGCGATAGGCGCGGCTCGGGGCGGGGGCGCTGCAAACAAATTAGGGCCAGGACCTCGCGCTTGGACGTCCCCCCGGTGCCACTGGCAAGCCGCGTCCCGGGGCAGCGGCGTGGCTGCGCGGAGGGGGCGTAGTCAGGGCAACGCTTCGGTCCCCTGTCCTGCTGCTCTGCCTCGTCACGCCTCCGGCACCGCGCGGCCCCACGCTGGTGACCTCGTCGGCTCCCCCGCCGCCCGCGCTCGGTGGCCACGCCGCGCCCCTGACGTCCTGCTGGCGTCCCGCGCGTTTGGGCGCGGACCGGCCCCTCCCCCGCCGCACGCCCCCGCGTTTGGCTCGGACGCGCTGATTCCCGCCCAGTGTACGCTCGCTGGCCCCTGACGGCCTCCTGGTCCCAGCTCTTCTTCCCGGGCCCTCGCGTTTTCTTCTCCAACCCTGGGACTTCCCGCCTTTTACACAAGTTTGTGTCCTGATCGCTGCGTCTTGTTATTTTCTCTGCATTAGAATATAGTGTCCAGAAGGGCGTGGAGTGTGTCGACTTTGATCGCCTCTGCGTCCTCGGCCCCTGGAACAACCCCCGGTACATAGTAGCCCCCGAGGATTGCTCGTCGCGGGCGTGGGTCCTCACGCGCCCGCGCGGCGGGCAGGTGCATGATCTCTGCTGCGCTCCGCCTCGGTCTCCGTCCCGCGTGGTCACTGTGGGCTGTCGCTGCCGGGTCGCTAGGAATTAGTCACTAAAATGGCACACACCCCGTGGTTAAAGTGACCCTGTTGTTAACATTTTATGAACAAAGTAGCCAGACATTTACCATCAAACAAGTTGAATAATTTTTAAGTCCACTCTCATTGTGAGGTTTTCCTGAGGTATGTCAAGGAAATATTTGGCTTAGAGTTTTAGCTGAAAAAGGGGGCTTTAACGTTAGGAAAATTGCTTAATTTTGTAGTGGAGGAGAAATAGTCGACACATGAGCTGTTTTCTGTTTCAGAAGCTAATTTCAATACTGTGAAACAGCACTTTAGATACATTATAAAATGTAACGTATTTTCTCAGTTTCGTGCTTAGATACTGAAAAAGAAGCCAAGCCGTGTGAGGACCAGAGCTGTGAATATTCCAAAAGGCTGTCCAAGGTAGGGCGCGCGGCCGGGCGGCGGGGCGGGCAGGGCGCCGGCGTCGCAGGTGCCCTCGGCTCCTTGGCCCTTCACCAAACAGATCAGGCCCCACACGTCAAGGGAATTCAGTGGTAACAAAACCCCATGAAATAGTAACGGATAGGAATTCAACAAGCTACTATTTTTATGAAATACTTTGAAATTCAGCATTTTAACTGAAGTTAGGTGATTTCCCAGTTATTTGGCTTTATTTGGTATTTCAAATTAATTTACACTGTTATTATTTAAGCAGTAAATTTGATCTGTAATGTTTATTGACTATTTTTATATTACTCTATACCCAGCATCCTGTATCTATGCTTAGGATGAAAATTTATGCTATAACTTTCAGCAGCAATTTAATTCTTTCTTCTACGTCGTACTTAGCATATTGTTCATGTTCTGTAAATTTATGATGATATTTTCCTATCTCTAATTATCCTAAATGACCATAAACACTTTATAAAATTACTTTTAAATGTTTATAATGTTAAATTATTTATACTATGATAATTGTAAAACTTTTCCTCTTTAAGGCATAGGTATTGCATATTCAGGTCAGTATCCATTGCTTTTGTCCTGAAATTAACAAGCTGGTGATTTCTCTTTTTCTTTTTAGTAAATAATTTATTTATTTTTAAGTATATTTTTATTGGATTTATTGGGGTGACATTGGTTAATAAAATTACATAGGTTTCAGGAGGACGATTCTATAACACACCATCTCTATGTTGGACTGTGTGTCCCCCCTCAAGTCAAGCCTCCTTCCATCACCATTTACCCCCCCAAACCCTCTAATGTTCATTCAGCCATATTAATTCTTTGCATCTTAACCAGATGGTTAATTTACGGAGAGTTTCTATAACTATGGTTGGTTCTTATATTATCCAAATTGGTGCAAAAGTTTCATTTTATATATCTGCAATCCTTACTCAACTCAGATAATTCCTCAATTCCACCCTTTGTTTGGCTCAGATAATTAATCCCATGCCAATCATTGGTATGTTCATAAGAATTCAATTCATGGTCCAAACAATGCCTTCCCTCCTCCATTTTTATCACATAAAGCATCTGTTCTTATTCTTTTCAGAGGGAAAAAAGGGGGGTTGAATGTGGAGGGGGGTGGGCAGGGCAGGGGAGAGTAACGGGGGAATAAGGGGGGCAGCTGTAATTGAACAACAATAAAAAAATTTAAAAAGAGAGGAGAAGGAATCTGATTTATATGATCACTTTTATTCCTATCAGGTTTTCCCAGGTCTAGTTTCATTGATTTTTTTTTTGGATGGAGTGTTAGGGAGCTAAGAGATTATGACTGTGTTTCTTGAAACTTAATTGTAGTTTGGCATTTAAATATAATTAATTAGACACAAGGTGTGTATCTAATTAGTTCTTAAGCACTTTCTTAAGGAAAATTTGTTTGACGAAATAAATAACAATGAATTCACCCAGGTTTATCAAAAGCACAAGAAAACCATTTAAACTGTAAAAAGATAATAACCAAGTAATAGAATTAGAATTACATAGATGTGCTGAATGCAATGTATTGAAAAACATTTTATAGTTACTTACAGTTTTTGTGGAGGGGTACGATTGGAAGGCATTTGGAGAAGTGTGTAAGTGGACGCCCACCTTGGCGGGCGCCCACGTGTCCCCGCCCGGCCTGGCCTGGGGGCGCCACTGGGGCCAGGCAGAGCTCGCGGGCTTGCGGGCGGTTTGCACATGTGACCGCACCTCGGTCCCCAGCCGGTAGAGCCTGCCGGCCCCTGAGAAGGACGAGCCCCGAGTGAACGGTCTGAGTCTGCCCCGATGCCCATCGCCAACAAAGAGCCACTGACCACGGGCCACAGTGACGCCTTAACTATTCTGTGCATTGAATTTTTTTGAAACACAGAACGGGAGGTTTCAGCGTGTACTGTATTTTCTTCCGTTTTTAAACCTGATATTTGTTTGCAGAAAGAGCGAATGATAGGCTTCTTAGAGATTCCTAAAGTACGTTTCTTCAAGCACTTTTAATTGTTAGAGTACATTTCTTAGAGGGCATTTAATTTTATAAAGCTGTACTGATTTTGCTTGTCATCCCATCCACGTTTCATTCGAAAGGCCAGGGGACCAGGAAATTCTGGCGCGCGCCCAGACACCCCCTCCGTGTTGGGTTTGGGAAAGCATTGGGAAATAGCTGAGGTTTGAAGTTGCCATCTTTTCATTTTTACATGTGTTATTTATGTTCTATGAATGCAAGAGAAAATAAGGACCTCAAGAATTAGGCTTCCCCGGCTTCTAAATATCTAAGCAATCTGTTAATTTTGCAATTATGTTTATTTGTGAAAACAATTTTTTTCACATTGTATTTCTATTTTAGGCTAAAAATCTCATAGAGAGATTTTTCAATCAACAAGTAACAGTTCTAGGCAGGCGTGCCGAGCCGCTGCCGGAGATATACTACATTGAAGACACCCTCCAAATGGTCTGGATCAACCGCTGCTACCCGGGCTATGGGATCAACACCGTGAAGCACCCCAAGTGCCCCGAGTGCTGTGGTACGTGGCCCACTGTGGCCTGGGCCCCTTCCTGACATCGTGCCAAAGCGAACCCCTGCCGCTTGTTTTCAGCTGTATTTAAATATTTCCTTAGTGTATTCACAAGAGTGTTTGCAAAGACTGGGTGACTGAACATATGAGGGCGGGAAAGCTGTTTGGGGTCAGCCTCGGTGCTCACGTTACGGTAAAGCGGGGTCAGGAGCCACGGGCATCTGCCTGGGCGGAATGGCAGTAGCGGCGGGTGGGAGCTTTGCCCGGCAAGAGTCAGATCCTGTTTCTCCTAGAGCCAGCCGCTGGCGAGTTCACGGGCGTCCCTTCTAGAGCAGGTGGTGCTTGCCGCTTTGGGGCGAGCGTGGCGACCGGTTCCTCAGCAGCGGCTTTTCTGACCTGAGGTCCTTGCGCTGAAGGCTGGGGCTGGCCTGGCCGCACCGCCCTGCCCCCTGAGCGAGGAGCCGCGCAGGCAGGCTGGGCAGCAAGGGCTCGGGGCCGCGGGCGAGCTCCCCAGCGTGGGGCGAGCCCGTGTGTCTGGGCCTTGAGGCTTTCTAACGTATTAGTGATACCGCTGAGTTAGTGCTGCCTTCCTGCAGTCTTCTCTGTTCTCTCCTCTTCTCTACTGATGTAAGTGAGATTATAAGCCGTTTTGCAGAACATTCTCAAAGGCCCTGCAGGCTTCCTGCGCATGTCCTGCAAATCCGTACCGTTAGTCAAGGGGGATAGATCTGGGCGGCAGACCTTCCCTGCGGAGCGGTGTCCCCAACCCCAGCGTCTCTGGGGGCCGTGGGTCGGCGCAATGAGGCTCGCAGCCCCTCAGCCACGGAAGCGTGTCTGGGCGCACCACCGGTCGCTCCAGGGCATGTCTGTGGGCGGTGAAGTTCCCAGTTCTGGCATGTTTTCCCATCTGGATAGGCCGGGAGATTCTCACGCTATAGGTGCTGGGTCTTTTTTCGCTGAACGGTGCCCTTCTCAATTTACTGCTTTGCTTCTGCACTTTCCCCTGCCAGGGGGAGCCAGAGTGCACCTTCGATTTTGTTGTCATTGTACTGTGTTCTTTTTTGTCTTTTTACTAAATATTCAATTTCTTTAATCCACATGGCTATTCACATTATTTTTCCCTTGGGAACATTTTGATAAATGGGCGCTTCTAGGTATGAATTGCTGCCTCCTGCTGCTTCAGTGAAGCCTCAGATTTTGTCATGTTGTATTTTCATTTTCATTCACTTCAAAACGTTCATTTCTCTCTTGACTTATTTAAGCAATTGGTTGTTAAACTGCGATGTTTAATTTCCAAAAAGAAATTTCCTGAGATCTTTCTTTTACTGAAACCTAATTTATTTCAGTACGGACAAAATTTCTTTCTGATATATGTGCTGTGAAAATATTTCCTCAGTTGAGGTTGGCATTTTTGTTTTTAAAGGGAAAAGTTAAGAAGTTCAATTTATTACTTTTTATTCTGTAGTTTATGTGTTTGTATATTTTTTCTGTTCTGCATGTTTATTTGTTGTTTACATTCAGTTGTTGATAGATATGTATTTCTTGCCATTTTATGGTTTATATTTTTTATCTTTTTTTCTTCTGAAAGAAGACCCTTTAACCCTTCATATAATACTAGTTTGGTGGTAATGAACTCCTTTAGCTTTTTCTTGTCTGGGGATCCCTTTATATGTCCTTCAATTCTAAATGATAGCTTTGCTGGGTAGAGTAATCTTGGTCTTTGCTTTTCATTACTTTTGAATATTTCTTGCTAACCTCTTCTGGCCGGCAAAGTTTCTGCAGAGAATTCAGCCAACAGTCTTCTAGGAGCTCCCTTGTAGGTAGGTAACTAACTGCTTTTCTCTTGCTGCTTTTAAGATTCTCTCTTTGTCTGTAACCTTTTGCATTTTAATTATGAAGTGTCTTCATAATTATGTGTCTAATTATGAGGTGTGGGCCTCTTTGGGTTCATTCTGTTTGGAACTCTTTGCTTCCCGGACTGGTGTCTCTTTTCTTCACCAGGTTAGGGAGGTTTTGGGTCATTATTTTTCAACTAGGTCTTGAATTTCTTGCTCTCTCTCTTCTCCTAACGCCTCCCCCATGATGCGAATGCTGGTACTTTGGAAGTTGTCCCAGCAGTTCCTTATACTATCTTCATATATTTTGGATTTCTTTTTCCTTCTTTTGCCATTCTGATTGGGTGGTTTGTGCTTCCTTATATTCCAAATCACGGATGTGGTTCTCAGCTTCATCTGCTCTACTGTTGATTTCCTGTGAATTATTCTTCATTTTGGGTACTGTACCCTTCCCCTCTGACTGGTTCTTTTTTATGGTTTCTGTGTTCTTTATCATGCTGTTGAAGTTCTCAGTCAGTTCCTAGAGCATCTTTATAACCGTTGTTTTGAACTCTATATCTGGTAGTCTGCATGTCTCCATTTAGTTCTTTTTCTGGCTACTTCTCCTGTTCTTTCACTTGGGACCTATCTCTTTGTCTTGGCATCTGTCCGTTTTCCGGTGCGCGCTGCTGTGTGCGCGGTGGGGCTGCCGTGTTCCCGGCCTTGGCGCAGTGGCCTTGTGCAGTAGGCGCCCTGTGGGGCCAGCGGCGCAGCCTCTCCAGTCACCTGAGCTGGGCGCTCCCCGCAGTAACAGCACCCAGGTATCAATTATTCCGTGTAGGGGGATCAAATCAGGTAAGTTAGGCTAAGTAATGTTTTCAAAATCACATGTCTAGCAAGTGATAGAAATAAGACTCAAAATGGGGGCATCGTTAGAAAAAAGCTACATGCCCTCCCCTTATCCGTCCCGTCTCTCTGCATCTGAACTACGGTTACTGTGGGCGATGTTCCCGTCACGCATGTCGCTCCTAAGTCGTGGCCTCTGTGGCTTCCACTGTAACGTATCCATGACCCATTCAGCCTGTTCACCTCAGCATCGCGCGGTCAGCACCACTGTTTTAGGTCACAGCCTTAGTCTAGCCAGGGCCGGAGTGAAGGGTAAAGTTCTCCCCTCGTGCGGGGTCTTTAGAGCGTTCACGTTCCCAGAAGCCAGTAGCGGGGTGGCGGGGGCGGGGCGGGGCGGCGGGCACAGAGCTGCAGCCTTGCCCCGGTGCGGCCAGTCGGGGGCCGGCCGCGCGGCCCTGAGGGTGCAGTTGCGCTGCCGGGCTGTGAGCGTGGAAGCGGTCAGCGTGCTAAGCTCTGTGCTGCGGGTGTCACACCACAGCCAACAGCAGGACAGTAGCCTTAGAGTAAGCGGAGCCCCCAGCCGTGGCGGCGGCATCAGGGCCATTGCTGACCGCCCCCCCTCTGCCCCCAGTGATCTGCAGCCCCGGCTCCTACAACCCCAGCGACGGCACCCACTGCTTGCAGTGCAACAGCAGCCTGACGTTCGGGGCGAAGGCCTGCCTGTAGCCGCGCCGGGAGCCCGTGGCGCGCCTGGCGCGAGGGAGTGTTTCTGAAAAAGACATACATCGTAAATCATTATTATGCCAAAATTAAATGTATCCGATTTTACAAAAAGAACGGTGTCGTCGTTTTAGTCGGAACACTCCAGGTCCAAGTGCTCCATGAAGGGAACACGCAGCGTCCGCTCATGCCGCCCCCGTCTGTGACTCCGAAACACTTCCTCGGGCACTGCTTTCCAAATGTAGTTACTTTACACTCTCCTGGGAATTCTCTCTCCAGATTTCCTTCCTTACACATAGACACATGTAAACGGAAAACATGCGCATCCTCGTTGGATTCTGCCGGTGCTTCTGCGAAGCCCTCCACTCTCCGTTTTCCGAGGTTCTTTGTTTCCTTCCCCTGCGGTCTCCCCTCTTGCCCCTTCTTCAGCCGTGCACTCCTGTCCCAGTTCCAGCTGGGCCGCCTGCAGGGCCGCCCCCGGGAGCTCCTCGGTGTCCCGCCTCGGCCAGCCCGGTCGGCTTTGGCCACCTCCCCATCCTCGGCCAATCCTCTCAAGTCCTGGGCAAGCCTCTTGAGTGCCTTCTGCCAGATGCCACTGCCATGCCGCTTGACGGCAAGATTCCAAGCCCCAGCAAGGGCTGGAGTGTCGTTCTGGGCGCCGCGGTCCTTCCAGGGGGGCGTCAGCGTCCTGCCCCGTGACGGCGGCAGCCTGGGCAAAGGCCCGCCCGGGTGACGGTCTTAAAAGCTGCTGCCACTTCTTCCCCTGTTGGTGGCGCCAGAGGTGCTGTTTTAGCTTTCAAGGGGAGATTTCTGTTTCTTACTCATAAAGAAGCCTTTCCCCATGGCGCGGCGGGGGACACTAGCGAGAGCCCACAAAGAGTCTGAACGTCAGCTCTTACTGTAACTCCACGTCTCTCGTTCCGTGGGGTTACAAGCGTCACGATCACTTTTAGGAAAGGGCGCAGACGTACGGTCGCCAGCCTGCACCGCGGGGCATGGCTACGTTCAGTGTGAGCGGTGACCGTCCTCTGTTTACATACCAGGAGTGGAAGTCACGCTGTATGTTTGAACAAACCCCAAGGGCGGTATCCTAAAAACTCAAAATACTTCAAGCATTTTGAGTACTATTTAATGACATACACTTCACTGCTCTTGTTCAATCAACTTTAAAAGGGGAACATATCTCAACAGTGTTCTCAAATATAACTTTCTCAAGGATGTGGGGGTGCAAAACCTGGCTCACGAAGTGGTTTGTGTCATAAATCAGTTCAACACGCATGCCACGCAACACCACAGACAAATGGGCCTAATCATGTAAATTCAGTCGTGAAATTAATGTATTGCAAAAACATTTTTCCTGGCAGATATTATATAAATGGGATAAATACTCATTTTACATAAAATACTCATATAATTATGTTTTAAACTTAAACATAGGCGAAGCATAGACTAGGGAAAAAATGAGCCCTAAATTGAGACATTCACTTTGACTTAACCTTCAAATGGTTTAGTTTCTACGTCCTCCTGTATGTATCGTATTTAAGTAATAAGCACTTCCATAGGGACCGTGTGCTCTATGCGTGTTATTTTCTAGTCTTTGTTTTGTACATATTAACCTAGTTTGCACCCCACTGTAGCGACAAGCAGTCTGAGAGGGGGGGATGGCCAGCGTTGGGTGACGTCGGACTGGGATTGGAACCCAGCCTCCAGAGGCCGAAGTCTTCGCTGCTCATGACTTAGAGCAAAGAGATGGCCCGTGCCCGCCAAGGAAATGCTTGACACCCACGGTACAAGGGCGCCCCGGCCTCTGTTTCTGGTGACGTGACGTGATGCTCGGCCATGGACTGAGGTCCATGCCGGCTGTAGGGGCCCCTCCCTGCCCCCCCCCGCCCCGCCCCACCCCCGCCCCGCCACCGCCTGCTGGTGCAGACCCACCTGCCCAACCAGCGCGCGCTCCGCCCTCTATCCTGTTTCCAGCGTGGGCTTCCCCTTCTCCGTTTCTCTCCTCACTTCCAGGTGCCTTTCACAGCGCGTGCGCGACCTCCCACCCGGCAGGCGAGCCGGGGGAGCGGTGGCGGGCTCTTCCCTGGCCTGCTCTGCGGAGGAAATCGATGTCGTCTGTAAACTCGTAGGCCCCGCTCTCGCTGTAGGAAGTACATGTCATTGTTCTCAGTCTATAGAAACTATGATGCATACGCATCGTAAGCGCTAACCCTCTAGGGCAGCGTCCCCGCGGAGGTCTGCTGAAATGAAGACAGAAGCGGTGATTGTTCATCCGTCTGGTACCTTGGAAAGCATCACACACGTATGTGCTGTTAGAGGTGCTAGCGACCCACTCCCCACGGGGGCTGGGCCAGTGCAGAGTCATCCCTTTGCAGAAGGTTGTCACCAAGAACACCTGCCGGTCGGCAGTGGGGAGGCGGCTGCTGCCGGGCACCCTCCGATCCCAGGAGCGAGCATCCGGAAAGCCGCCCCCCGCCCCCGCCGGGGGTACTAGGCCACCCTCCCCTGAGTGTTTTCCTGAAAATGAGTGCCGTCCTGACACACTGGAGGGAAACACGGCTTCGTCCCCGGCTGTGGAGTGGTGACTGGCACAGGCGCCCGTCACGCGGGGTGGACGGTCCGGCCGAGGAGACACGCCCCCTGCGGAGGGGGCTGGGGCTATGGTTGCACACTCAGGCCGAGGCACAGACTCACCGGGGAGCTCGTCTGCCTTAACTCACCCCAGACAAGCAAGGGGACCCCAATTTTGCCGCGGCCCCTGCCTGATGGCACCGTGGGGTCCAGCCCACCTGACCCCGGTCTGGGGACAACTTATAGTGAGGGTGCGGAGAGACAGTGATGCCAGTGAACACAACACACACTCGTGTCCATCCCACTGGGGGCATCGGGCGGAAGGAAACGCGCCCCGTGGTTATCTCGCGGCCCCACGGCCCCAGCGCCGGAGCGCGGAGGTGACGGGCGGGAAGTGGCTGGCGCGAGGGGACACTGTGTCCACGTGGGTCAGGTTGGATCTTCAGGGAGAGACGCTGCATCCATCTGTGAAAGGAAACAGAACTCGGGCAGGATTTCAGGAGCAATCAGTCCGTTATTTCGTGATCCATCAGGGGCGCACGGTCCCGAGGTGGGAAGGGACTCAGCCACACCAGCGTCACCTGACGGGGTCAGGACCGAAAAAGACACCAGGTCCACGGTGAGGACGGTTAACAGCACAGCATCTTTAATCGGTATCTATAGAAAACACCTGTGTAAGCTCTCTAACAGCGATTATAGAAACACAGTTCATATATGACAGTGCACGGGAGGGTACTTACTGTGAAAATAGCACATTTATTTAGAGCGGGGCCGGACGCCCCCAGTTCTCGCGGAGCTTTTGAAATATATGCATTTCCTTCTCTTGGGGTAACCGTTACCAAGAGAAGCCAAAGTACTGGCAATGTTCCGTTAGCCCCCAGCCAAAGTCTTCTCCTTCCGGGCGGCCTCTCCCAGGGTCTGGCGGCGCGGCCGCAGCAGGGGAGCGCCCCGCAGGAGAGGTCGGCGCGGCGCGCGGCCTGGGTCTACATCTGCCGGCACTCGTGCCGCGTGCAGGTGGCCTGCCGCTCGATGCGCCACGTGCCCTCCTCGTAGGTGCAGTGGCAGACGGTGCACTCGTCCGTCTTCACCTCCCTCCCTGCCGGGATGACCGCCGTCTCCGCGAAGCAGTTCGGCCCTGCAAGGCAGAGACAGGTTTCAGGGCACGTGTGTGGGGAGGCGCGCCGCGCGTGCGGGGAGCACATAGCCCGGCAGTCCCCGCTTCATTCGCTCTGGCAGGAAGGACGGTGGGAAAGTCACCGTTTGAGTAGCGGGAAGCTCTCACACTCTTTCTGAAATGGAACCAATGGTATTTAAAAATGTTACTACACCTGACACCTCTGTCATTTTCACTAGAAGATGATCCCATCTGGGGGCCTCCCCCGGAGGCCACATCTGCAATCATTTGAGTTGATGAATTCTAAATCATTAGAAAAAAACACAACCGTGACTTTGAAAGAACCACCCTATTCCACGTGGCCCTTTGCGGAGCGCGAGCTGAGCCAGCTGCCGGAAGCAGCCTATAACCTCTCAGGTCCACCGCACTCAGCGTGGCTCTGACAACGCAGAACAGTCCCCTGCGCGGCCCCGGACGCGTGGCCGCCGTCCGTCCCCAGAGCTCCTGGCTGCCGGGTTTGGAAATTTGCTCTGGTAACGAATTCCCGGGCGATGCCACCACCCCCGCTCTGGGGGCCGCACGTTGAGGAGCCCCGTCTGCCACGCACCTTCTTCCGTGCCCGTCCTCGGGGACCTCAGAGATCCTCGGTCGGCATCCACGGGCAGCTTCTCAGCCAGCCCAGGCGCCGCCCCACACATGACCCGAGGTCAAGGTCAAGGACACCAGGCCCCCGGCGTCACACAGACTTCCAACGGGTCGAGACGAACAGTTCCATGCCGTGGCGGCACAGGATGCGAACCCGGCGCCGCCCGCGAGCCTCCCTCTCACATGCAGCCCCGCCTTCACTGCGGCCGAAACAAGGGCTCAGCCGGCGACGGAGCAGAGCGCGCCCCTTCGCCCCTCCCTCCCTACCTCCGCTTGTCAAGTCCTGGACAGCGTGGCGGAGGACCTCGTGGTGGTGACCTTCCCACGACTATGGAGGATACTCTCACAAACAGTCACTGACACCTTGTGGACATTGATGTCCCACAGAACAGTGTTGGAAAAATGAGGTCCCCCCACTAACAGCGATTTTGGCAGTTAAGGAGCAGAATCTGCCTGCCCCCTGTGCTGAGCTTCGGCCACGGAAATGGTGCCAAGGGGAACCAGTGAGCGGCTGGGAGGCTCGGACTGGGGGCCGGGGGAGGCCCGGGGTTTCCCATGTGCCCTGTCCCCTGAAGCCACAGCCACGTGCAGGGTGCTGGCGGCCGCTCCTGCTGCCCAGCTCCCCCTAATTCTGCAGAAAGCGGCCATTCAGCAGGAAAACTCTGCAGCCGCCCAGCGTCCCGGGGAATAAACGCGGCTGAGTGCCTTTGAACCCTCCAAACTGCCACCAGGAGTTGGGCAGAGTTGCCCTGACGGAGCAGGTTGGAAGCACCACGCCGGTGGACACAGACTTTGTGTCTGGAGTTGACGCTCAGGGTCGTGTCAGGCGCCTCAGATGTGAAGGTTGCGCAAATAAAGCAACTCCACACCTGTAATTAAGAGAATCGTTTGCAAGCTAATTATGCCATATTTATTCACGCCAAATAAAGCTGTGTTGACAGGTAATGACTGAATGCAGACACAAGCTGTCAGGAAAAGGGAGGCGGCAGGGCAGTCTTAAAATTGGACAAAATGTTGAGGCTTATGGAAAAAAACAAAAAAACTTCTTGCCCTGGCTCCGGGAGCTGCCCTTGGCAAATGCTAGATGGTTTTTCCAAAGACATACTTCACTGAAGCACCAAGTAAAACACGAGTTACCAAGAAAGCGTGTCTGCGAATACCCTGAGAACGGTCTTGCATTTAGACATGCGTGTGTCTTCAAAGAGCCTTTGCATCCCTTTCATTATTTTTTGAATTTTGGGAGGCAGGTGCGGTCCCACTCCACAGACGTGGGAACGGAGGCTCAAGGATGTGACAGAAAAGGTATCAAGTCTTTCTCGTTTGTGATGTAATTTCGCTTTAACCCAATCCGTGCTGCCGTAGGCAGTGGGCAGCCCGAATCTGCTCGGTACCAGCCCGTTCCCTCCAGTTCCGGCTGATGGACAGCATGTGCTGGGACCAGGCGTCAGGTTTGCAGGGTCCGGAGCTCGGAGACCGCGGTCCCCAGGCTTTCCCCACCCTCGGGTCAGCACCGGCACCCCCTCAGCGCCTTCTGTGGCCCCTCATCCCTTCATTTAAACAATGAGTGTAAGTACCAGCAGAGGGCGCACTCCCGAGCGTGGCGCATGGCTTCCTGGCTGTGCTCTGCAGCGCCCCGGGGTGGCCTGACGCCACCCGCCCCCACCCCACTTCCTTTGCTCCCTTGTAGCACCTGGCTGTGCTGGTACCAAATCCTGACATGAAATGAATCTGGGAGCACACAGCCTTTCTCGTTTTCTCACGTCTTCCTTTCTAGCAATCTTCAGGAGCCACAAACCTTTAAATGTTTATTGTAGCGACATTTGGTCACTACCATTTCCCTGTGGAATTATTAAAGGACGTGGGCAAACAAGGTCTAAACCCCCTCCCAGGGAGCCGGCTACGACGGAAGGCTTCCCTCACCCACACCCCGTGTGCGCTGGGCGCTGAGGAGACTGCCTGGCACACTTGGGGAGCGCTGGGCGTGGCCATTTAAGTTTCACGAGCCACCTGTCGTTCTTCTTCCAGTGGCAATTAGCAGCCTCTTAGCAACGAGGGGCCACAGAAGGGCTTCCGGACCACTCCACCCTCCGAGAGAAAGGGGCTTTGCTTCTCCTCCCGACTCGGCACTGCACCGGGGCGCCCACGTCTCTGGGTGTTCCCCTGGGTCCCCTGAGCCACCAGCAGGTCCTGATCAATCAGCAGAGGTCGGTTTCCGCCTGAGCCCGCTGTTCAAGCACGCGGCCCGCAGGTGGCGCCGCTGTCCGGGTCGCGACCACAGCTGCTCATTTGGGAGTCGGGGCAAAGGAAGGGGGCGGTCGGCCCGTGGGGAGAGGCCCAGGCGCCAGAGGCTGTGCTGCACCAGGCCCTGGAGGGAGGCATCTGGGGCACAGACTCCCCGAGCCGCGGGTCTGGAGCAGCGTGGCCCGGTGCCTGCAGGTGACGGCGCTGCGCCTCAGGATGCGCCCCTTAACCTGCAAACCAGGTCCCACCCTTTCCACCCCGAAGCGGAAGCCTCCAGCCGTCCGAGCGGGACCCACCGCTGCGGCCGCGCCGGCTCTGCTCCCGGCCCCGCCTCGCCGCGTTTAAGGCCATCGCGAGGGCCCGGTCCAGAAGCGGGCCGCGGTGCTCCCGAAGTCCGCGGTGGCACCTGTCACTGCAGCCGCCGCTGCCTGCGGCGAGGCTGGGACGGGGTCTGCGAGGGTCCTCGCCCCACCCACCGACACAGCACGGGGCTGGGGCGGGGCCCCATCGGCCGGGACGCAGGCCCGGGACCGGCCGCCCGCCTGGCAGAGGCCCTGCGGTGCCGCCCTGCGTCCTGGCTCCTGGGACTTAGGCAGCGCCCAGGGCCCTGCGGGAGCGCCTCCTGGAGGTGGGCGGGGCATTGTCATACGTGAACCAGCCCATCCGGAGCCCGCGCCCCTTGCTTCCTCTGTGGGGCTCTCACTGGCCACTGTCCCCCGTCCCCACCACCCCAGGGGCGGGGGCCACACAGCAGGGACAGGCCCCGCGCCCCAGCCCCCACCGGCGCGGTTCCGACCGGCCAAACCCAAGCTCTAATCAAAACCGCCTCGAAGCTTTGCGACCAAATTCACACGGTGAAACTTCCTCTATTTCCACATCTCTGTGGGCACCGCTCACGCTGGGTTTGCACAACTAATTCCATCATCTCCTTATTTAGTCCCAATAATATTAATGACAGTTCGTATCAAGTGTATAGACTAATCCCAGTTTAACAAAGAAAAAGGGCCTTAAACTCACACAGGACCAGAGGCGACCGACCAGAAGGGCTCCTGCAGGCAGCGGCGTGGAGTCACTTCACGGCAGCAGGTGTCACGGGGAACCCTTCCCAAGGTTCATATCCTAACTTCTGTTTTGTCCTCACATCTCTAAGTTTTCCGGTTCCTTCCTTTATCGACTTGTCTGACCTATCCTACCGAGCAAGCACTCACTTAAAAATAAAAGACGTTTGCGGCAGGTGTGGCTTGTTTGGACTCTAAGTGAAAGCAGATGGGTCGGGTATTTTTAGGCTTCTTGCCTTTTCCTGAGGGATGGGATTCTCACGCGAGCTCTGCTGCTGCGGGCCCCTTGCTCGCTGTGCCACGCGCCAACACTCGGCGTGCCTTTACCGCGTGCTGGTACGATGCTCATGATGTCGCTTAAACGAGTGGACTCTTAAAATGTTCTCCTCGGAAGCCCTGCTTATTTTATGATCGGTCAGGGTGTTCACACGGCCGTGGTGACCACCGAGGACTCATCTATTAACAGGAGAGGAGCCCCCGGCAGGCAAGCTCGCCCACCCGAGGATTTGGAGAGCGGAACACGCGTTTCCCACAGGAACAGGCTCTGTGAGACGCAGCTCTGCAGACGCCGGCCCACGGTCGGCCAGTGACCGGCGGCCGGCGGCCGGGGGACAGCAGGCTGTGCGGTGTCGGTCCCTATGGCGGAGCCTTCTGCTGAGGCCTGTGGACCACTCCTGCTGGGAGGTCTGAGGGAAGAAGCTTTGTGTCCACGTGTCTTCAGGACATTTGTTACTGGCGGTCAGGTTTCCGGATGCACGGCCATGGTAGAGCTCTGAGGCAGGGAGCTTCTAAAAACAAGACGCCTGCTCCGCTGGGTCTAAGCGGGGGTTGCCTGATGCCCACAGCTGCGTCCACTGTCGGAGCTTCCCACAGGCAGCGTTGGGGATGCCCCCGCAGCCTACGTTCTCCAAGGTTCTGGAACATGCTGGCGATACTAACAGTCTGTGCTTAGTATCCGAAGAAACATGTCTTTGTCTACAAGCCAGGTTAGGAAAGCAGCTCCAAGACCGACTGCACCCGGACAGGGGGCAGCCGCTCCTGGCAGGCGATGGGGCGGGATGGGAGGAAGATTCCTAG